GAAAGTCCCAAATAGCCATCAGAATTATTATGATTCCCGTTTGTCACCAAAAAGGGCGTTAGGGCAAATTTGGGGAAAATTCAAAAATCGCCACTTTTTGGCAAATATGGCAAGGGGTTAGTTCATCATTTTTGCCAAAAATGAACATTTTCAATCTTCTTTTCTTCCTCATCATGAAAGTCCCAAATAGCCATCAGAATTATTACGATTCCCGTTTGTCACCAAAAAGGGCGTTAGGGCAAATTTGGGGAAAATTCAAAAATCGCCACTTTTTGGCAAATATGGCAAGGGGTTAGTTCATCATTTTTGCCAAAAATGAACATTTTCAATCTTCTTTTCTTCCTCATCATGAAAGTCCCAAATAGCCATCAGAATTATTACGACTCCCGTTTGTTACCAAAAAGGGCGTTAGGGCAAATTTGGGGAAAATTCAAAAATCGCCACTTTTTGGCAAATATGGCAAGGGGTTAGTTCATCATTTTTGCCAAAAATGAACATTTTCAATCTTCTTTTCTTCCTCATCATGAAAGTCCCAAATAGCCATCAGAATTATTACGACTCCTGTTTGTTACCAAAAAGGGCGTTAGGGCAAATTTGGGGAAAATTCAAAAATCGCCACTTTTTGGCAAATATGGCAAGGGGTTAGTTCATCATTTTTGCCAAAAATGAACATTTTCAATCTTCTTTTCTTTCTCATCATGAAAGTCCCAAATAGCCATCAGAATTATTACGACTCCCGTTTGTTACCAAAAAGGGCGTTAGGGCAAATTTGGGGAAAATTCAAAAATCGCCACTTTTTGGCAAATATGGCAAGGGGTTAGTTCATCATTTTTGCCAAAAATGAAAATTTTCAATCTTCTTTTTTTTCCTCATCATGAAAGTCCCAAGTAGCCATCAGAATTATTATGATTCCCGTTTGTCACCAAAAAGGGCATAGGGCAAATTTGGGGAAAATTCAAAAATCGCCACTTTTTGGCAAATATGGCAAGGGGTTAGTTCATCATTTTTGCCAAAAATGAACATTTTCAATCTTCTTTTTTTCCTCATCATGAAAGTCCCAAGTAGCCATCAGAATTATTACGACTCCCGTTTGTCACCAAAAAGGGCGTTAGGGCAAATTTGGGCAGATTTCGAACATAGCCACTTTTTGGCAAAAATGACAAGGGGTTAGTTTATCATTTTTGAAGAAAAAATGAAACTTTTCAATTTTCTTTTCTTCCTCATCATGAAAGTCCCAAATAGCCATCAGAATTATTACGACTCCCGTTTGTTACCAAAAAGGGCGTTAGGGCAAATTTGGGGAAAATTCAAAAATCGCCACTTTTTGGCAAATATGGCAAGGGGTTAGTTCATCATTTTTGCCATAAATGAAAATTGTCAATCTTTTTTGTTCCCTCATCATGGAAGTCCCAAATTGCCCTCGGAAGTGCATTGATCCCCATTTCTTTACCAAAAAGGGCGTTATAGCAAATGTGAAAAAAAATTCATGTAGTGACTTGCCTTATGTTTCCAAAGGGTATTTTAGGATCACCTTCGCCTGCTTCGTAAGGGTTAATTTCTGTGTGAGGTTTCCTGTCTTTTTTTCCTTTCAGTGGTAATTTGACATCAACATACAACATTTCCGTTTGGATTTAATCATTTACATGATAATACAACAGTTCTCCTCATCATGAAAGCCCCAAATTGCCATCAGAAGTATTCACTATGAACATGACAAAGAGAGCGGACAAAATATACAGTTCCTTTGTCTACCTGAGGAACTGTATATTTTGTCCGCTTTCTTTGTCCGTCATGTTCATAGTGATTGATCCCCATTTGTTTGGCAAAAAGGGCGTTAGGGCAAATTTGGCGAAGCTAGGCTTAACTTTAGAATACCCCACCAATATGGTTAATGTACATAGATGTCGAAGACCTAGGGTTAGAGTTAAGGTTATGGTTAGTGTAAGGGTCTTCAAATTTAGCTTCATTGGTGAAGCGTTTGGTATCCTACGAACGTCTGGTCATTTTTTGTGGTGGGGTATTCTAAAATTGCTCCCGAAGTTATTTTAAAAAAACTAATACTGTAGTAATATATTCTTATCTTACCTTGCACTACTATACGCACGAATAACAACAATCTGTAACTGCTAGTCTGCTACACCTCTGGGGGCCGTTACTCGTATCAGTCCAATTTGTTGGAAACGCAGGCCTACGACTGTTTTATAGAATTAACACGCGTTTCTATGGGATGTAACAGCCCCCTGGACATCAAGGCATTTCCATCGGGCGTGTCGTCTTATGTCTCCAACTTCTCTCTCTCTCTCTCTCTCTCTCTCTCTACATATCTACATAATAGGCCTTTTTCGCAAAGCAACCAAATTTCTGCATATGCCTTTGTGAAGCGCCTCGATTCGATTTCTTTCATGCACCTGTTACGATTAAATCTCAGAAGTCAGAATTCAAACTGCATACATTAGTTGTTGCTAGGTTGGACAAACTTTATGGCTTGTTCTACCTACACAAATTAATATATGCATTTTGCATTCTGATTATTGAAATACAACTATTCGTATCAGGTGAATGAAATAATTCGTATCGAGGCGCTTCACAAAGGCATATGCATAAATTTGGTTAAATTACGAAAATTGCCCATCAGAGTTACCGACTATTTTTTATCTGTAGGACTGTGTAGCTGTAGTGACTTCCTTTTCAGTGACAGGCGTCAATCCATCCAATCAATACCGAAACCATGGACCTACTACAGTAGGTCCATGATGTATCCCTGTAGGGGTGGATGGAGGAGAGGTGGGGTGGATGGAGGAGAGGTAGGGTGGTGGTAGATGTAGGATGGTAGTAGAATCAGGACGGTTGTAAGTAAAATGATAGTTGAAGTAGAGGTATGACAGTGTCGGAAAAGGGTTCGAGATGAAGGAAGGTAGCAGATAAAAGACATACACAAACACACACACATTTATAAACATCTAAAACGTTTGAGAAGCTTATCATATTGGAAATAAAAACAGAGACAATGTAAGCATTTTAAAATTTCAATTTATCTTTGAGCATTACATTTTGTATTACCTCACAAAGGGTTATAATGACATAATCATTTTCTTTATTTTTGAATTACATTGATATTCTTTCTTACAAAATTGGTAATTCGATCATAAATATTGTTACATTATTGCAATATGTCATGGGGAAAATATCAAAATATTACACTATTGACGCATATATTACATTTGCATTGTCGAGAGTTTCAATGGCATTGACATTGTTTACAAACAAACAGTCTCAGTAAATAGTGTAGAATGCATCACTTAATTCACAGTAATGAGTATTGTATTGAGACACAAACAATGATATTACCCAGGGGCGTCAATCCGAAGGCTAGCAACTAATTTCAGAAGTGTCTGTAAACAGAACATAATAATGCAATGTTTGCCCGAACGATGGATTGACGCCCCTTCCCACACCCACACCGATGTGATTGGAGATGCCATGAAGATATTTGATATATGGCTCCTCTCGCCATCATACCTGTCATGTGGGTCGTTCATGGTACATAACGTACAGTTACCATGGTTACAGGTGGCAAGTAGAGTATACCTTGATAAATAACTACGCAGCCCCGAAGCAAATGGAACTTTTGGAGTCACCGAGCCCCATAGTTTAACCAGTACCTCGAATAGAAGGCATGTTATATTTATTTTATATCCTGCATCAAAAATTTATTTAAAAAATAAAAATAAAAAAACATTTTTGGGAAGAAAAAAATTTAGAACGAAAATTGTTTCAATTTTTATCTAAAAAGATTTTTTTTTTTTTAAATTTCATTAAATTAAAATTTGAAGAAAAAAAATTGATTCAATTAAAAAAAAAAAAAAAAAAATCACATTTTTTTTCAACTCCCAAATAGTAAACCAAAATAGTACTCTCTCATATAACAGTACTTTCTAAAAATATTTCTGGTCATGTGACGAGCTATCAACCAATCAAAAGCCAACAAATTTTTGATGCAGGATATAAATCTTGATGAACACGTTTCTCAAAATTAAACGATGGTTGACTTCCTTGAAACATGTCATGGGCATCGAAAGTGGACATGTGCGCTATACAAGTAGCCACTATTATTATTAGTAGTAGTATTATTATATAGGAGCATGAAATTACACCGTATAAGTTTATTGCGCGCTATGTTATATAAGATTGTTTTTTTAAACATGTTCTCGCTTCAACAGATCTTCAGAAATTAAATTTATGTATCCAACTTCAATCACAAGTAAGTTCCAGTTCCTTTACTCCAAGTATCGTATTATTATGCATATTTGTTTATCTATTTTCCCGTATTCCGACAAATGCGCCATAGCAACTGCAAGCAATCATCTTTGATAACTATTCGAAATCCATCACAAGTCCAGAGCCAGCCATTTCCTTCTCGTAAAGCTCGTCATATCTTCTGTTCTGATCGTCAGTGAAATAATTCTTCCAATCTCCGATTATCCCTTGTAAGGAAACATAAAAGTGAGACAAACAGGTATTGATTACGGGAAAGAGTTTGTCACAGAAATTAAGTGCTTTATATACCAGGTGTATAAGAGAATTGACGCTGTTGATCATTGTCAACTCGGGGTTGAAAGTCGAATCAGATGGAGATTGTCAAGTTTAATAGTGGTAATAGTAGAAGAAGTAGTAGAAGAAGTAGTAGTAGTAGTACTAGTAGTACTAGTAGTAGCATTACTATTATTATTGTTATTATTATTATTATCATCATCATCATCATCATTATCACTACTACCTGTAGTACTATTATTATTGTTACTTTTATTGTAAAATAATCATTAGCATTATTACTATTTTTATCATTTTTATTTTTCTCATCATCCTTATCATTCATAACAAATTAAAACGAATACCTTTCCTCATGAATGATTTGCCGCTTTTCACCTTTCTGCCAGGCGAATCAAAAGTGTCAGGGTTCGAGGAGGGGTTCTTCTTCATTGCCTGGAAGGTCGATGCTTCCGAGATTTTTTCGATGACGTCATCTGAAAAGGACTTTCCCATGAATTCTGCTATCTGTCTCACTGCACCTGGAAGATCCTAATGATGATTTATAACAGTAATAAAATAATACCAATGAAATGCTTAATTCCTTCATATGGTTGAACAGCGTACATAGTCGGAGTTCGGGGCAACGCCTTTGACACGCCCTGTGAAAGCGACTTGATACAAAGTCAATGCAAAACGAACATCAACCATGTAATGTGGAACCATTCTTCCTTCCTCTTTTTGTTAAACAATATACTCGATACAATTCCAAATGTGAAAATAGAAATTAAAAAAAATCATCTTACCCTTTTCATGTCCTCGTACTTGAGAAAAAGAACGTTTGGATGATTTCTTTTCCTCCACCATGGCAAGACGTTTTCAAACCAAGATCCTATAGGAGCTGAAATTAAAAGAAAATCATTCGCCATTTTCTTTTGTATAAACACGTACATGAAAACTTACTGTACAATTCCAATTTCCAAACGATCGGATGGTTTGGAGTCGGTCTTAAGTCGGTTTGGTGGTATGACTGAAGTATTATTCTTAAGACACAAGGGGTATTATTTTGATAACGATTTTCCATGTCAGGGAAAGTTATCTTAATTGCCATAACACCTCCAAAAGGGCGAAATTAACACTTACCATCGGTGCTTGCGCAGATGACTCTTTTAACTTAATACACAAACGCAGTCAGCTCTGCGCGGACATTAACCAATGACTTGTCTTAACTTTGAGTTTTTTAATGATAATCAACGTCGTTTAACCAACATCAGGGACAATATTTGTTTTACTATACCACCTCCGGACTTACTTCTTAATGCGAGATACTCTTCGAAGAATATATCCCAAGACTCGTAAGAGGGCAGTGGACCAATATGATGACAGAAGTGGTAGAATGAGACCGCGGCATCCTTTGGGTTTCGGGCTACGTATAGCACCTGCAATCGAGTCAAGAGAAGTTTTGAGCTCTGATTAGGGTCAAAAGTACTACTGATTTTCTCACTCTTTTTATGAAATTTGAATTGATATCATAAAAGAAAATGTCTCCTGAAAAGGATTGCTAGCTGTCCCAATGCCCTAATATTTGAAGTATGAAGAGACAGAGCTTAAGAAGAGTTTAAACCAAACTTTCATGCCCCTTTAGAATGTCGACAGTGTATCTGACTTTTATGTATTATATTCAACATACAAAGAATCTTACGCTATGATTGGTCAAAAGTAAATCACGTGATGAAAGAAAGTTCGCTCATCATTGATGGGAGAAGAAAAGTTCGCTGCACTGTGTAGATAGTAGTACTATCTACACAATGCAACGCACTTTCACTAAAGATAGAAGTACTATCTACACAGTGCAACGTACTTTCTTGTATGCGTTGCATATACGTACGTACGTAAGTACTGCATGCACTAGCTGTACGCATCGTTCACCGTTTGCTAACTGTTGATGATTTGTTGCTCTAAAATAACGGAAGAAGTGAAATGTTTCCGATGTGGAATATAAAGCAAATAATCCCCTTTTGGTTTCAGGCGATGGCAAACTAGCACTTCCTCGGCTACATCCACATCGCCTCTAAAGTGATAGTTTGTCTCATCACCTTCACCAACGGTCATTATTTGCTTGATAATACATCATGAAATGAATTATACAATGCAATGGCTTCCAGACAGTTTCCCCCACAGTAGAACTCAACTTTATATTTAAGAGGGAAATTATATTGGTGGCTGCAGCCCACGAGGCTGATTCATAATGTTGGTCTCATGGACCTACACGTTATGAGAGGTTTCAAGAGACCGACAGCTTACGATTAAGCAAATAATTACCGTTGGTGAAGGTGATGGGACAAACTATCACTTTCGAGGCGATCTGGATGTAGCTATCTTTCCGAAGCGAAGCTGAGGAAATATAGCGTATATTTCAGATCGCCGATCTCACTCAGATGTCACAGATATTGGTTCTGATATCTAGTGTGCCCTTATTAATCTTGTAGAAATATATTTGATCACGTGACATGCTCTTGACCAATCACCAATCAAGAAATTTTCCATAACGGATTTGGTAAGAAGTAACCCACCTTAGCTTTCGGATCATTAGTGCTTATATCCATTGGCAAGAAAGGCGGTATGTAGTGAGATTTGAGTATCCTTGGTGAAGCCATAGCTTCTGCTGCGTCGATCCGTAACGCTGATGTCTGCAGGGAGGGGATGACGGCATGTCAAATAATTTAGTTGATGGAATCATCGTAAAGGCGATTTCATGGGAAGTGTTCACTTGTCAAAAATAACTATATTGACGATTTCTCCGGAAATACTATTATCAAAGAAAAGATCTAAAAAGTCTTTTGATTTCATAAGTATCGAATAGGATTGAAGGACGCTCGTTTAAAGATGAAGTTGAGTTCTGGTCATGCGATTGCATTGTGAAAGAAACGGTGTGGAATCGACCAGAAAAGGTTGATCATCTAGCATATAAGAATTTGTGTGTATTGCAAGATTCTGGAATTATCAAAATGATAAGAAATTAGGCCAAGTCTTGGTAAAGGTACCCAGAAAGATGTATACGGGACTACACGAACACGTGGCGTAAAAATCATACCCTGGATTTTACGATGTTACATGACAATTTAGATTATGAAGGCATTTGAAGAGCCATGCTTTTCAGGGAACATGTCTTATCTGATGTTCTTCCACACTTGCATAATAAGAATGATAACGCTCACAAATGATTTTTCACCTCATCCCAGAACTCAACCTTCTCTTTAAGCTTTCGTCACGCCACAAGCACTTTAGATTTACTTTTGGTATTTAATTGTGATGATAGGATGAAGGACTAATGATGAGAGGTTTACGTGACTAAATGAACGTTTCAAAGTAAAGCTATATATAAATTATTAAACGTTGATGAAGGTGTCATCTCCGTTACGTATTTTTAGCTCTGACAGGGAATTATGTAATGTAAAAGGTTAACGACATGTCTTACTGTTTAGAGTGTTATTTATATAACCTCCTGTTAATTCCTTACTTAGACTAAAATAAAATTGAAATTGACGCAAATGCTATGGGCAGATTTTATTTGTACAAAACTGTAAAACCCATCGAGACGACTGCTGGACGTGTTCATCAAAGTTATGTAATCATTATTCAATTATGCACCGGAGGTTCATTCTATGATTTGTGCTCTTTTCTGTTCAAGAGGGCAAACAAGAGGAATTCATGAAGCATCTCCATCACTTTGGCATAATGTAAAGCGCTTAGGCACATCGTTGGATCGATGTATTGAGCGCTATATAAAACGGGATAATATTATTATTATTATTAAACCAAAAAGCAATGTGTATAGAAAGACCATATCTGCCTATAGAGACCACTTTTCGAGTCTCCCTTGAGCGTTCATTACCAACATGTTTCACTGTACTTACCGATGGGTTGAGCATGTCTTCTACAATCTCGAGGAATGGAACCATCTTTATGATGTGCTTTCCTTCAAGTTCGCTCCTATTTCCATCATGTTTTATCAAAAGCATCAAGTGAACAGCCCAGGTTGTCCCTAACAATGAAAATCAAAATCGCACATGTTTTACATGAAATTAAAAGACGCAGACATGAATATCGGACGCAGATTTTGTTGTTGTCTGCGTGTCCCTTCTGGGCCATTGAGTAACGAAAAACGAAAAAATTAACAAGCAAAGGTAAACGTCAAATGTGGATTTTCACGTCTTTGACGTAAAAATCCACAAATTTGTTGCAAAGGTATACGTCAAATTTGTGGAATTTCACGTCTTTGACGTACAAATTCACAAATTTGTTGCATAGGTATACGTCAAATTTTGCGTTTGCGTGTCCCTTAGGAGCCACCATCTAGCTGTGCCTGTACTGAAAAGGATGATGATCACCCCTGTAACATAATCGAAGAGTCCAGCTACTGCTGAAGCTTGACCCCACTTTGGAGAACAGCATTCTACAGTTACTTTTATCAAGAAATAACACCGGTCCGTCTCTTCTCTTCATTTAACTTTAAGGTAAGCTTGGTTCATCTCTCACGTTATTATAATCATCAAATTGCTGATTGTGATTGGATGTTGAATATTAATTAATGCCAGTTAAAAGTTATTGAATATGTGTGTGACTATGATGCAGAAGAAGTTCATAAAAAGTATTCATTGTTGAGAGTGATGTTGATTGACTGTGATTTCTATGTCAGAAAAGAAGTACATTAATAAGCGAGTTCGTAAATAGCCACTGGAGTCGAATGACGTCAACGTGTCATAGGTCACATGAACATAAACTCGCCACTGACCTCTAGAGGTCAGTGAAACTCGCCCGTTCACTCGTACGCTCTGCGTAATGTACATAGGGCTACGTGAAAAAATGTGCGTGCGTTCGTCCTTCACTGTTTAGTGTATGTTTTACCGGCTGTTCGCCGCGCTTTCTATCTTTTTATTCATCGAAAATTCCTACAACAGTTGTTGAAATGGATTGTGAAGGCTCCCTCGATAGATGATATACATTTGTGGACCGTCACTCATTTCCCTCTTCTTCCTCCTCCTCCTCTTCCTCCTCTTTTTCTTCTTCTCATTCTTCTTTTTGTTCTTGTACTTATTATCATTTCTATCAAAAGTTTAATGTTGTTATTATTATCATCATTATTATCTTTAATAAGTTTTTTGCTTATCTGTCTGTAAATATAACTACTTTAACTCATTAATTTTTGTACATGACTTTCGGGGACCCCACTGAAAATAAGTTCTCGAGCTTTCGTGGGCTTTCCTGTTCAAGTTGACTTAATTTTGATATGTTATTCTTGTATATTGTTGTAGGTTGGAAGAATGGCGAATAAAAATCAATCAATCAATCAATCAGGATTATATTCCTCTTCGTGTAAGTCCTGTCCTATGGGAAGTGTAATGATCTTAACTCGCAAGGGGGACTCGCAGCACGAGGAATATATAAACAGTTTTAAAGTGTTTTAGTCAGATTCTTTTGATGCTAGTGATACTATAACAGCAAATATTCATTTAACACCTCTATGTCACTTCGATAGATCAAATAGTATGACTCTAAACATTACAAAACTGTCTATATATTCCCCGTAGTCCGAGTCCCCCTTACGTGTTTAAATCATCAAATTTCTCATAGAGGGGGATTCGAATCACGAGGAGTATATTTAGTATATTATAAATAACGTCTATTTTTACTCTCAGATGGAAGATAATACCAATACGAAATGCATTAAGCAACGTCTAGACATAATTGTTTTCTGTTTGATAAATAACTCTTAAACCAATTTTATAACACGCCACGTATTCCGTAATTGAACAATTTTGCAAGTATTATGACTTAGAGTATCAAAGGCTTTACTGAGGTCTAAAAACAATCCCATCATGACTTCCGATTTATCAAAAACTTGAGAAACTTGGCATGTAAAATCAGCTAAAGTAGAGGATGTGGAGTGGCCTGTTCGAAAACCAAATTGTGAATTATTCAAAATATTAGAAAAAAAGGAATATAAGCGATTATACACAGCTCTTTCTAATATCTTAGAGAATACTGGAAGTAGTAATATAGGTCTATAATTGGACATTTCAGTTTTAGTACCACTTTTAAATATAGGAATAATTTGAGCAATTTTCAACTGATCTGGTACGATCCCAGTTTCAAATGAAGAATTGAATATTGCACATAATGGATAACAGATCAAAATGTATAACTCTTTTAACCATCTTAACATCAACACTGTCAAAACCACTACATTTATTACTCTTTAATGTATCTACAATGTTTATTATTTCTCTTGGAGTGACTGGAGTAAAAAAAAAAGCAGTAGATTCATTTTTCATCAGATACTTAAAATCACCAGTAGGTATATCAAGAGTTGATGTTAATTTTGGACCTATATTGATAAAGTATTCGTTAAAAGATTCACATATATCTGTATCATTATCAATGGTTTCATTATTATATTGTAAAGTACTCGGAATTTCATTTTTCTTAGACTTTGTGCCTAAAAGACCATTTATAATTTTCCATGTTTGTTTAGTATCGACTTTAGCATCTACAAAACTTTGTTTGAAACACTTATATTTTACATATTTAATTTGATTTCTAAACTTATTTCTACACTTTTTGTATGCATCAAGTCTATAGGCAGTACGATTATTCAAATATTTCTTGTAATATAAGCTTTTCTTTTTGTTCAGCTGTCTTAATTCATCATTGAACCAAGGTTTATCAAATCGTTTTTTCTTCTTAGATTGACATTTCATTGGGAAACATATTTCATATACATGTTGAAATTGTTTTAGAAAACAATCATAACTTGAATTAGCATCTTTTTCTCTCAGAATCCAATGCGTATTGCCGATATTCGTAATAAAAGTATTTATATTTTTTGCACTAAATTGTCTTTTCATTGTAATACATGTTTCTGTTACGGTTTGAGTATTTTGAGAATAAATGCAGAATATTGGGAAATGATCACTAATGTCTGTTAGGATTGTGCCAGATGAACAATGTTCAAGGTTGTTTGTGAAGATATTGTCAATGAGAGAGATTGAGTTATTTACAACACGCGTTGGACCATGAACTAGAGGGTACATACCAACTGCCATAAACATTTCAATAAAATCTTTAACATGAGATTGACAATTTACTTTAAATAGGTTTATATTATAATCTCCAATCATGTAAAATATTCTATTTTCAGTGTTTACAGTAGTAATAACATTTTCAACCGACTCAAGAAAACTTTGTAAAGGTTGATCAGGAGGTCTATAAACAACTCCGAGAATTGCACTTTTATTAGCAGTAACAACTTCAATAAAAAGCGATTCAATATATGGAATATTTATATCAAGATCAGGTCTACGATTAAAAATTTCACATCATTTCTTACATAAAAACCAATTCCTCAACTTTTTTATTCTGTCGACCTTTAAGTACAATATAGTTATGAATATCATAATAGGAATTGTACTCCTTAATCCATATCTCAGTCAAAGCAATAGCTGTAAATTTAACTGTTAGGGAACAAAGTCTCGCCGCCATGAACGAATGTGCACGATTTTAGCTCTGATTGTTATCAGATTTTGTGTAGAAATACAGCAGTAAAATCAATTTAAGTACAATATAGTTATGAATATCATAATAGGAATTGTACTCCTTAATCCATATCTCAGTCAAAGCAATAGCTGTAAATTGAACTGTTAGGGAACTAAGTCTTGCCGCCATGAACGAATGTGCACGATTTTAGCTCTGATTGTTATCAGATTTTGTGTAGAAATACAGCAGTAAAATCAATTTGCTCATCGTTGCCTTTATCTTCCTTGGTCTTTGTGGATATATTTAGCAAATAAAATCCCAGGTACCCAAACGAATTATTTACAGTATATGAACGATCCACCTGTGGACTCTTTGTATTTATATCCTACTAGGGAAAACGAAATTTGTAACATTGTTAGTACTTTTGGAAACTATAAAGCTGCAGGTTTGGACGAATACAGTCCCAGAGTCATTAAACAGGTCATTATGTACATCTTTTGACCACTATGCCATGTATTTAACCTTTCATTATTAAACGGAGTTTTTCCAGATGAGCTAAAGAAAGCTAAAGTAACACCAGTGTTTAAATCTGGTGACAAGCGTGAATTTACAAACTATAGGCCCATTTCTGTACTGTCAGTCTTCTCTAAATTATTCGAGCGCATTGTTTATAAACGAACTATTGAATTCCTTGACAAACACTCTATTCTCAATAAGCTTCAATATGGTTTCCGTAGGGATTATTCAACATGTATGGCTCTTACCAGTCTTTCTAGTAAAGTCATAGACGCCTTTGAGGCGAACGAATTTGCAATAGGAGTTTTTATAGATCTGTCTAAGGCATTTGACACAATTAATCACAATATTTTACTATCTAAACTATATCGTTACGGAATACGTGGTGTAGCTCTTAAATTTTTCACCAGTTATCTTAACAATCGATTACAATGTACCAAATATCAATCTTCTATTTCGGAGTTTAGGACAATAACATGCGGAATTCCACAGGGTAGCCTGCTTGGGCCATTGTCATTTATATTATATGTTAATGATATTTATAAAACTGCTAATGAATTGTCTTTTATACTGTATGCAGACGACACAAACATATTTCACAGAGATTCAAACTTGAAGTCTCTTATGGACCCCACCAACGGCCCTAAGGAGGACCCCTTATTGCTCATCTGACCGTAATTAAATGCCTAAAATGCCTGAGCTTCGCGGGCTCTGCCCCTGGACCCCTCCAAGGGCCCTTATGCGGCCCCATGGATGCTCATCTGGTCGTAATTTAATGCCTAAAAGCCCTGAACTTCTGGGGGCTCCGCCATTGGACCCCACTCCAATAAGTGACCTGCATGTCAGTACATGTCACAAAATAAGGTATCAGATCAAATTATGCTCATTTGATCGTAATTAAATGTCTAAAACCCCTGAACTTCCGGGGGCTCCGCCCCATGGATGCTCATCTGACCTTTATTAAATGCCTAAAACCCCTGAGTTTTATGGGGCTCCGCCCCTTGATCCCCGCCAAGGCTTTTCCCCTGGACCCCACGCCAATTTACGTTCCACCTGCTTCACTCGCTTTGCTCTACCTGATCATAAATACTTTAGCCCCCCCCCCCCACTTTAAAGAACGTTGGCAGGGCCTGCGTAACATCTAATAGATCGGTGCTGGTGATGCCGTTTTTTTTTTTGCCCCCCCAAACGTTTTTGCTAATTACGCCACTGCTCCCTCGTCCCTCGCATTTCGCCCCCCCCCCCCCCCCGGTCATGAAAAGAAATCGCCGCCCCTGGATGCCAGGATGATGACATTGACAATTACAATTATGGATAAAAAATAATCAAACAATTTGTTCCGAGGTCATGTTTAATCCAATTTTTGAAAGTTTTATCCACCAGCATGTTGTTGAATATTATATCCAATTATGCGGGGATTTCGTTGATTACGAGCAGATGATCATGGCAGGATGTGATATTCTCTAATAAAACTAGATGCTATAGATCTAGACAGTACTTCAACAGAAAGCTGGATAGACACACTCCGTCACATCAAGCTACGAGAAAGTATATCATCATCTCACAGAATTCTGCTCGAATACCGCATCGAAATCAGGTAGGCCCTATACAGCCCTTACGTTATGCCTGTTGCACATGAGTCGTCTTTCTGATTCGTCAGTTTGGGATTGTACTGATAATGATATCGATTATTTAGCGGCGCTAAAACAAAAGGGACTTTTTCGCTTACCAAGTAACAGAATGTGAAGAGAGAAACTTAAAACTCATAAATAGGTAAATCATACTTTATTACTGAGGAAAGAGGTATTTTTTAAGGGATCTTTTGAAAATGGTAAGACAGGTTAATTCTCTAATAGAAAAGGGGGATTTTTTCGATGCAGCCACTGTAAAACGTTTTTTTCGGTATAGTTGAGGGTCTGGATTTGGGAATAATTAGAATAAATTCAGTTGTAGAGCGTAGGTTTGCATTTCTCCAGACATTTTTTCGCCTCTTGGCTCTTGTGCAGCGGGCTTTTAGTGCACATTATTCAGGAGCTTTGCTTTTGAAACTCTAATGAGTGAGATGGCCGAGTATTGAAACTTAACCGGGAGGTCCCATGTTCGTAACACTAAAGGGCGCTAGGTGTCCTTTGGTAAGGCACTAATCCTCATTACTCATACTGACTTATTACACTGACTCATTACTCACACCAGGCGCGTACGCAGGATTTTTTCAAGGGGGGGGGGGGGGGGGGGGGGGTTTTAACATTTATAAATCGGTCCGAAAATTTCGCAACGACTCAGCCAGCCGCTGAATAAGCGGGGGGGGGGGGGGGGGGGGGGGGGGGGGGGGGGGGGGGGGACACATTTTTTTTTTTTTTGGTCTCAAAAAAATCGCAACGACTCAGCCGACCGCTGAATAAGCGGGGGGGGGGGGGGGGGGGGGGGGGGGGGGGGGGGGGGGGGGGGGGGGGGGGGGGGGGGGGGGGTAAGAGGACACTTTTTTTTTTTTTTTTGGTCTCGGAATTTGGAAATTTGACATTTTGCTCCGTTGGGGGGGGGGTAAGGTCACCTTTTTAGGTCGGCCATGGGAATAATTTTTTTTTTTTTTTTTTTTTTTTTTAATAATTTAAAAAAAAAAAAAAAAAAAAAAAAAAAAAAAAATCCAAAAGGGGGGGGGGGGGGGGGGGGGGGGGGGGGGGGGGGGGGGGGGGGGGGGGGGTTTTTAGGTTTTTTTGGGGGGTTTACACACAAAAAAATTCCAAAGGGGGGGTTTAACCCCCCAAACCCCCCCCCCCTGCGTACCCGCCTGACTCACACTGACTTACATCTACCTTCCTAAAGTTGGCAACACTGTGACGTATCTTGCGAACCCCTCTCCAATTTGGTCTTTACAGAAAATTTTAATGAACTTTCATTTTCTCAGTTTTTGATGACAGAATAGATTGGTTTCATACATTTCTGAATGTATCAAACATATTTGCAACGATTATTTTCAGGGTGAATGTATGATTGAAAAAATGTTGATGAAATTTGTAAGGTTTTATATTTCTTTAGTACAGGGAAAATGGGTGATGGCCTCACAGCATATGTTACAGAACTGCCAATTTGCACCGTGTTTGATTGATTGAATCTTCAAAACTCAATACTTTCTTATTTTTAGTCGGTTTGGCTCAATCGGTTTTACCCTGAACTTCAGGGGGCTCCGCCCAATGGATGTTCATCTGACCTTAATTAAATGCCTAAAGACCCTGACCACCGCCGGGGCTGTGCCCCTGGACCCCACGCCAATTTACACTACACTTGCTTCGCTCGCTTTGCTCTACCTGATCGTAAATACTTTAGCCCCCCCTCCCCACTTTGAAAAAACGTTGGCAGGGCCTGCGTAACATGTAAGAGTGGTGGTGATTCCGAGTTTTTTTCTGCCCCCCCCCCTAACGTTTTTAGTAGAGGATAGTTCCTGGTTCTCAATATTACCTTCCAATAATAAAAAATGCAATATAAATTTATGTTTTGAAATAATTTTAAAAACGCGATATAAATATATGTTTTGAAAAGGGAATAGAGGTGGGATAAGAGGAGGGAATCATATGTCTAGTATAAGAGGGAGTTGAAGACGTTTTGAAGTATAAAGCCGTCATGTAGTGACTTTGTAAATGCTTGCAATTTGTTTGTTTTCTCACATATATGGCATTGCAGAAAATGAAAGAAGAACTAGAAAGGAAGAAAGAAACAAACAAACAAACAAATTGAGAAAGATATAATGAAAGAAAGAAAGAGTGAAACATTATTGAAGAAAGGAGAGAAAGAAAGATATGAAGGAAAAGTTGGAAGATTTCTCTTTGGCTATGACGGGCGGAACGTGCCATAAAGATGACAACTATACAACTATACATCCATCGAATGGATGTAAGGTTTTAACCAATCAGAACGCAGGAAACTGTACAACTATACAACTATACGACTATGCAACCATACATCTATAGAACGCATGTAAGGTTGTTACGTTTGCGGGCCGAAATGCCATAATTGCGAACAACCATACATCCACTCAGCTCTATGGCTGTACGGTTTTAACCAATCACAATGCAGGAAACTATACAGCTTTGGCGGCGAGAATGTCTGTATAGTTTTATGACTGTACGGTTTTAACCAATCACAATGCAAGAAACTATACAAACATTCTCGCCGCCATGGCTGTATAGTTTCCTGCATTCTTCACGTCAAATGTGAGTTGCGTCTTGCTGATATTTATTATATCGATTAGAAAAGGAAATAGACCAGATGAGTACCATTTTTCTTTACATTTTGAAACGTTCCTTCTGAGAACCATTCAGCATCTCTTTCAAACAACATACAATATACGAAATCGCTCATTATTGATAGAACCTTTGTTTTAAGTCAATTTATATCAATCTTAATTGCATCTACATGGCAGTTTACAAAGGTTTAAACATATTTCTTACATGTACATCACCTTTGAATATTACCATTACATAGTTTCTTATACCATTACAGAATTTAAACTATCTATGTATCATTATTACACGTACCATCTTCCGTCTACAGTAACTGACATTTGAAACTTATATCATTATATTTGGAATTGATTGGCAGATGTTGAAGTTGGAGAAGAAAACAAAAATACAATACAGAAAGAAAGTAAAATAGTTCATGGTCGAAAGCATATCCGGAAATGCATTGTACACTTGAAAACAATATGATTTTTGTAATAAAATGACAAACATTTGTGTATGTGCGCGTGTGTGTGTGCGTGTGTGTGGGCGTGTGCGTGTGTGTAGGAGCGGGAAGTCACGCGCAAGACTAAACTTTATTGGATTTCTTCCATTATTTGAATAAGGTCATAAAGAAGAATGCACACTCTGATTTCATTGAGCGACAAATAGACAGAATGCGGAAAGGTAAATATTAACGGTGCTTTGATAGAGTGATTATAAAATATACCACTGCTCTCTGAAGTCCAATCACATACATATCGAGGGCGACTAATTTCACTCAAAACTTGAGTGTCCTGGGACTCAAATTGGTTACCTTTTCTTCCTGATAAAAAACAGGTTTCTACATTTTAAAGTTAGGCTATAGAGTGTGACTAAAGTGCTAACGTCATATTCGCTCGTCGATCAGGTTACTGGTTCTATAAAAAAATAAAAAAGAGTCTGCGCATTAGGCTCACCGCAAAAGCATTCAAGGAACAGGCTTCGACAGGGCGAATTCATTGTTTGGGGCTGGTGTGGTCGAGCACAACACCATTGTTTGGAACCATCAATCTTGACAATTTGGCCAATACGATGTCATACTTCTGTACTATAACGTTCAACAAAGATCTTGGCTTTAAAAAAATGTTGATAAATACCTGACTTAGGGTAGGTCACGACGAACAGGTCATCAGGTCGAACGGTGAAGCTCCTCATGCGTTTAAGTACCTTCAGAGGCATAATATTTGGTACGATCACGCCTTCGTGCTCGTAACACGTCTCGACGACGCATGCCGGAACATTGGAGGAAAATCTAGCGCTCATATTTGTTGTTCTGCCTTAAACAGTATCTGCGTAAAGAATGAGATAAAATGCAAGCACATTTGTTAAAACGCAGTTCCTTTGGAATATTGGTATCAAAGTTCGGTAGGAGGCGTATGTGTTCTTAGGTCTGTTGTGTTCTTGGGCCTATATACATAGGTCGTTAACATATTATTACAAATAAACCTTTTCAATAGCGTAGCTACAGGTAGTCCAGAATCTGCACGGTCCTTTATAATTTCCCCCACACACTTGATTCAAGCCGTCGAAGATGGCGTTATCAACAAACTCCAGTTCACGGTTAGAACACTACTGCAATGACCCCGAATATCCACAGATCTTCAAAACGTGAAGATGTCCCACTTTGTATATTTTGAAATAATCACTCCTACAGCGATGGAGGTGCTTCATAAATAGCCTTTATTTCCTCTTTTCAAAGAATACTTCCACCTGTGTATCATTGAGTGCATAAATGAATAATAATTACATAACTTTCATGAGCATGTATCCAGTAGTTCGTCTCCACGTATTTCACAATTCGTTCTGCAATGACCTTTATCTGTTCATGCTCAGACTGAAACCGTGAACTGGCTTATTATGCTCTCCAGCCCGCCGGGCGTCCTAATTTAATGATCACGCCATCATCGGCTGGTAGCAAGTAAGTAGGGAGAGGTAGCGTTGGTGTGGTGGAGGCTGTTCACACCGCAATGAGATAGCGCGGTCTATCGTAGCACCCCCTTTTTTTCAAGCGCGCGCTAGACCGCGCTATCTTTCGTGGACCACTCCCAAGAGGTGCTCCAGTGGCACGCCGTTTTGGCTCGCCGTGGCTCGCAGTTGGGCGGACCGAAACGACGTTGTACCTTCCACATCGCAGAGATAGCGCGGTCTAGCGCGCGCTATCTCTGCCGATGTGAACAGCCTCGTGGAGATCAAATTTAAATAGGACAGATTCTGGACTAAGCTACAGGGTGCGCTAGGAAGGGGACCCGGGGCCCTAAATCCGTGGGGTGCATGAAGAGGGCAAAACAGAACGATACTGCTTTCAAACTGGCTTCTATATCGGAGTCACACCGATGAAAATACCGATTGAATTTTCCTTATGTAAACAAAGGTGAAACCGCCGTTTTCTCCCTGTCGCTTTCTAACTGCCGGTGAAATCCACTCGCTGTGGCGAGCCCTTGCCGGAAGTGAAGAATTATTGCGTAATTATTAAGCCCGCATTCCATATAACATGCAGCATGTTCAACCATAAGTCAACAAACAGAGCTGGTTAAGATAAAGCGCGCGTATACTACGACCTTTGACCATTTTAATTGCTGTTTTAATCGCCTTTTTCTCCCGAACGCTTTCTAACTGGCCGTTTCATCGGTGTCACACCGATATAATGAGAATTTCTCCTGCTCTTGAGCAGACGAATTTAATCGCCTATTTCTCTTCTTTTCATCGGCTTTTTAATCGCCTTTTTCTCCTCTGTTGCTTTCTTACTGGCCGTTTCATTGGATGCGTCCGGATGCATCCGATGAAAATCAGTGCAGTTAGAAAAGGGAGAGAGAGAGAGAGAGTTAGGGGGTGGGGTGGCGGCGCTCTTATTTGACACTCAATAATAATTCCATAATTGTTGAGTCCAGACTATAAGCGAGAATAATATCACTAGAGATTTAATAAATCAGGAGGTAACTTTACAGTAATTGTGCATATAACAAATTATATGTATTAGGGATAATTGCTATTTTAGATGTGCATCAATTTTTGCTTTGAGTGGGGATTGTTTTTCATGGTGGATATTTAAAAAAAAATGTTTCGGGCAGGATTTATTGCTTGCAACTTGTTTTGTGTAAAAACATTTGTTTTGTCACAAGTGGGCTCAATTACACATGCTGTCGTTTACTCATTATCATGATCCTATCTGTTTGGATTGAAATAAATACATTTTAAATTTGGTTTGAATTTGAGTTTTAATTTGAATTTGAATTTGTTCAGCATTTAAAGTACATGTAATGTCAAGTTTTATAACGATTATATTTCACTTTCATTTGTTCTACTTAGTGCATTAATAAATATCTTAAAGTGACTTGGTAACATTGATGAAGGTTGATTAAAAGTTCTGTAAATTTTGTATGAAAAGTTACTTATTATCTTCCTTTTAATGTACTAACCCTCTAACATGCAAGAAATCCTGAAAAAATTCTCAAACCACAAAGATATCAATTGTTTTCTAAGAAGGTGACACTGGTCAACACCCTTTAACAGTGATCAATAGTAAATTATCCCAACCATTTTTGAATTTTCCCCACCGTTTTTCCATGAGAAAAAGACATAAAACAGGCAATACAAAAATCTGGAATGGTATGTAGAGCCAATTTATTGCTTTGTGGCGATTTGCATTCACCTAAAATGTAATTAAATTGTAATAATATAGTCGGGAGAATTAAGGAATCGATCAGATCAGTTTTTCCCAATTTGTATCATTGATAATGGTCCGTTTCCACTGAAATTTTCAGATTATCTTTAATTGTACATCGAGCATTGAAGTCACTACCTAGCTTAGCACCACTTTCTCTCATCTTAACAATGTTACAAAGTCCCTTAAATGGAAAAGTTTGTGCATTTAAAGTTACTTTCACATTCTAATGTTTATCACTATCAAAGTAAATTTGTACACTTAAAGCTCTATCAGTAGACATTGTTTGCGGAACGTCCTGCCGAAAAGGTTGTTGACATGTGTTTTTATAAACGGCCTTTTATCTTATCTCCTAAAATGCCTCTGTATGTGTAAGTTGTGTGTACCATTGTAAATGGTTTGGATGATTCGTACTTTAATGACGGAGGTAGTATATCATTACCAAGATTAAAAACATATTTAAGGAGGCTGTCAAGAAAGGGTAATTTTTTCTACACTGATAAGTTGGGTAAAAATATGTACCCAATATGAGCTTCAAAGGGGACATGTTATGTTTGTTGGGTAAAACATTGCCCTATATTGGGTAAATTTTACCCAAAAAGCCAGTTCACGGTTGTAGTCTGAGCATGAGCAGATTTAAAGGCCATTCACAGACCAAACTGTGAAATACACGGAGACAAAATACTAGATGACTGCTCATGGAAGTTATGTAATAATTATTCATTTATGCACAATCAGTGCTCTTCATGATACACGGTTGGAAGTGTTCTTTGAAAAGGAGAAACAAAGGCTATTTATGTATCCCCTCCATCGCTGTAGGAGTGATAATTTCAAAATGTACAAAGTGGGACCCCTTCATGTTTTGAAGATCTGTGGATATACGGGGTCATTTGGGACATGTGCTAACCTCGAACTGGTCTATTAAAGCGTATCTGCCATAGTTTACAGGAGGGATTAGACTGCCCTGCAAGGTCACTGGACAGGTGGTTATCTCATCAACTCAGCTCTCAGTTAACATAAGAAAAAGAGGATCATGGGGGACCAATGGTCACCGATTAGGCATGGTTTGTTATATAGAGGGCGCAAGTAGCTACAAGTAGTGTAGTGGACCTTTAAAGGCTCGACCGTTCACATATGACGCGGCAAAACCCGCGGCGTTTTTTTTTTGTATGCCGTAAAACGTACTACATTCATATTTCTGTATAATATAACACAAGGCGGTGTCATACACGATTTTATCGAGATAACTATAGATAATAGTTATCTCGGTGATTCGTAGCCTGTCTTTCACCTATGTAAGTGAATTATCTAGATAACAGTTATCTAGATAATTCAAGAAAGATCGGGAAAATTGTGTTATATTAAAATTTGTCAATTTAACACTGTAAAATATACAATATTATACAACACCTACGTGGATCCTTGTCATTTGATTGGAGGATTGTTGGTCACATGATATTCAATAGATGGTATATTGCACGGTCGTGCATTTTTGGTTATATGCGCCGTGCATTTTTGGTTATATGCAGACTGCGTACCTCTCAGTCGGGCGCGCGCGTATCCCTGCGTGTATCTGACGCGAAGGCAATCTCAATGTAATCGAGAAGGCTTGACTCCAACTTTAATTTATCTTTAATATAAGGAGTAAAGCATAATTTGTTAATTAACGTTCTATTAGATCTTCTTCGATGTTGTATAAAACAAATAATGAATGTTTTTCATTCGTTCAATAGTGCAAATATTTTCATTCGTTGAAAGATTAACGTTAATTCTATTCAACTCGGCTGACGCCTCGTTGAATAGAATGTTAATCTTTCAACTCATGAAAATATTTGCACTATTGAACTCATAACCATTCATTATTTGTATACAAATCGAATTAATGTTAATCAATACAAAATAACACTATCGCGTGAAAAAAGTTCATAACATATTTTGTGAAATATATATATCATGCACGCATTATGACAAGTTTTTGGGGATAAAAAGGGAAATTAATGGGATAAAAATATATAAAGCAGTTAAAAAAAATAGTGAGGCAATGACGTCACAAACGGATAACCAAATTGGCAATTTGTGTGGTGATTAGCTAAGTTCCATAGTTTTTCATATTTTTCAATTTTTTTATAACTTCCTTATTAGTTATTCGATTTCACTCAAACTTGTTTGATGGGTTTGTCTGCTTTGTCCGCATCTATTTAAAGCAAATTATTGTTGGAGTGGACCTAGTCTTTATTCTCCATCCAGGTGTAAATAGGTTCCTAATAATATGCTTGACCGCACGGTATAACCGGTGTAATGATGTCGAAACACCATGCGCATCACACTGTGCTCGATAGGAAAGCCATATATAATCCATTTTCATGATTACAAAATCCTTTACTGGAAAAAACCATCCACCCACTGATTCGATAGGTAATTTTTGTAATAGTTTTCCTTCTTCTCGATTCTTTATGTATTTATGCTGATATAGGCAGCAACATGAGTTCAGGTTTTTCATCTAAGGTTCCCGATTGCGTGGTCCAGACATGCTACGAGTACGAAGGCGTCATTATCCCTGTCTTCATGCCCTTGTCGGCGCTGAAGCGCGTCAGGAAATTCGAATGTCGACCCAATGACCTGTTTATTGTGACCTTTCCGAAGTCAGGTAGGTGTGCAGATTTATTGCGATCCTAAGAATTAAAGATTTTAATGTGGATATCATTTTCTCTAGAGATCATGCAAAAATGTAACTATAGGTTATTGAAACTTGGTGTGCAAATATGAATCATGCAAGTAAAAAACAATAATACAAACAGTAATATAACACATAAAGTCTCTCAAATTTTCAAAGGTTGTTAAAATTAGTTACATTAATAAATTACAGTAAATGAAGCATAATCATTGTAACCAGCATTATTAGTGCATAAGAAAATATCTCACTCCCATCAATGAAAAATAGTGCACGATACTTATAATGAAAAGGTGGTGGGTCAAACAACAAAAAGGGAGTGTGTTTCTGAAGAAAAAAAGATAAGTATTGCGGGTCACATAAAACAGAGACATTAGAACAGAATTGAAAAAATCCCATCTAGTCCCTTTACAAAGCCTAAGATCGACTCTAATTGGACTTGAATTATGACAGGCCGTTCATGCCTCTGGTTGTACTTACCATTCCTGGCATTGGTCTCTCAAAGAAACATGCACATCTTGGTCACAAATCTACTGATTTGAAATTTGTTTATAGTTTATCAATGAAGAAAAAAGAATTTCTTTGATATCTAAATCATAATTTCTTTGGTATTTTTCATCTAATGTTATATCTGGTTTAAGAGTTTTTAGGGGGTATAAACTACTTACCATTGTTTGAGCCCAAGTCATAAGTAGAACTTGATTAAATATTTTTTCTCAAATGAACTATCAAACAACGTAAATCCTGTAGATTTAAAGGAACAATTTGCACACCCTTGCGAGTTTAATGCCAGGATTGGTGAGAGCAGCCAGTGGCATAAACGGCCTACCATAGGTCAAGTCCAACTTAAAGGGCCGCTCCAATCAATACGGGCTTAACATTGAAAATAGAGACGTGTATAAGAGTTTTTGACGGACATTCCGAATATGAATGATTTTTCTTTGAAATCATCAATAATTCTGTAATCTAGCTTTAAATATATAACTCAGACTTTTCAGAAAAAGCCCAGTTTCGGAGCTGTATTACGCAATAGGATATAGCGTCACTGCAGGAGAAAACATAGCAGGTACGCGCAGCTCAACGCATCAAACATAATACAGATAACAATGGTGTCTGGATAATTCTCTCCTTGGTTATGAAAGAATTTCATTGTGAAAGAAAAGGAGAAATGACTGAAGAAAACAATGAGAGCGACGCAGTTGCAAGTGATTTCAATAGTCAATCGGACAGTGATCAGGACTTCAGGAAGTGTTTGAAGAAGTAAATTTCACTGCACTTTTCATACATAATAATGAAACCCTATCAGTTCGAGCCATAGCCAGGGCCAGAGCTCGACGATTTGCCGATTAATAAGCAGGCCTGAGAATTGCCCGGTTTAAAATATTTTAAAAAATCCTCGATTTTCCCCGTTCCCCACCCCCCCCGATTTTCCCTTATTTTCTCTATAATCCCCTATTTCCCCCTATTTTGTTTCCAATGTTCTTACTCAAGGGGGGGGGGGGGAATGGTGTCAGATGTTTTTTTTCCCCCGAATCCTCTTCATTTTGTGTTTACTCAAGGGGGCGTGGTTGAGGGGGCAAAAAATCCTTTAAAAATATTTTTGAGTGCTCACTATCACCCCCTGAATAAGACAATTTCTATTTTCACGTACAAGGCACAACGTGGGTGGAGCAGCTGAGTCTGTTAATTCAACATGGCGGTGATATGAGCAGACTGGAAGGCACCAATATCATGGAGGCAGTTCCATTCCTTGAGAGCGTGGAAGACGGCCGAAACCCATTGGTATGTACAATTAGGGGCGTCGCTAGACCTTTTTCAGTGTGGGGGAGGGGGGGGGGGGTAGAGGCCACCGATTATCGACAAAACAAGCCACCAATTGCCGACAAATATATTAATGCCAATCTAACCTATAAACTTTACTCTTTGTTATAATATAACGGAAGCATAATTATTACATTACGTCCTCATGAACAAATATTAAAAAACTGTCGCGTAGTCTACTACGAGGTTCTAACGAGCGAAGCCTAACTTTCTAACAAACAATCCATATAATGTGTAATGTTTTTCAATCCGCAATAAATACAAAAAATTAGAGAACGTGCGTCACCTTGTGAAATGGGTGTTAACCCATTCAGGTGGTTTAAGGTCACTTGATTTAGCATGTTAATTCAAAATTGCAAGAGTGATTATTACTGGCTGTTTTTCTCATTGACTATTTTCATATGACAATATTTGACTATTTCCGCACTGACTATATTATGTTGACTATTATCATATTTATTTAATTAATAATGTCTAATCTTATATTGTGACGTCATTTCAGACATCACCGCTGGTAATCGACAAGGCTGAAAAGATGGCGTCGCCAAGGATACTCAAATCTCACTGCCACTCGCCTTTTCTACCCCAGGATATCAGCACCGACGATCCGAAAGCTAAGGTAATTGTGTGGCTACTTTCGAATGACTTAGGCCCCTTCCACACCGGATCTGCGTGGCGTACCGAGTACGCCTAAAGTAGGCTGCGTATTCATGAAAATATTGCTTCGGTATAGTCCCTGCGTAGGTAATGCGTAGGCTTGCGGACGATGGCCTTTAGTTACGTACCCCGTGCGAAGCCGTTCCTACGGCATATGCAATTGGCGTGCTTACATGTTCGATTGCGTATAACAGGCGTAAGTTTGCGTACGTTTATGTAGGCCTGGCGTAAAGGGTAGGTTTGCTTACGGTTGCGTATGGTTGCTAACTGTATGCAGGTAGAATCTAGGACGCCTTTATACGCTTTTACTGCTTCGTCGGACTGGCGTAGGGTAGCGTAGGCATGGCGAACAGTAGCGTGGTGTTGCGCAGTGTTTCATAGACTTGCGTCAAAAATTCAACATTTGGGGGCTGGTGTGATCACCACTTCCTGGGTTTTTCACTGGATTATAATGATAATGTATGCAATTCGCATTCTGACTACTAAGATAAAATTATTCGTAAAAGGTGCATAATATAGAGATATCGACTGCTACGAGAGGACTTGCTGTTTTTATACGCTCAAGGGAAATTTGCCTCCGCTGCTATCTCCCCGAGGCGCACCTATGTGGGTGGCGCGCCGAGGGGAGATAGCAGCGAAGACAAATTTCCAAAGAGCCAGTATAGAAACAACCATTCCTCGAGTATTAAAGCAGTCGAAATCCCTTTTATATGCAGAATTAAAACAAAAATCTACCAAGAATTCTTACCTTATCCTTTTATCGGATAAAGATTGGTTAAGACATCGCGGAAAATCTGATAAACTGTCTGTTTATCACTCTCCGAAAAATGACTGAAATTTTCGATCAGTTGGGAATCGCAGACAAAAAGCACTGTATGATGTCTGCGCTCGCTCAAAGAACATTTAAACACGTAAACCAATGGTTATCGCAGCAAGATTTTATTATTTTGCCTATAACTGGATTTTTGCCGGGATTTTACACTTGGACTATTAAATGGTTTCTTTACGGGAATGGCTAAAATCATGACTGCAATTTCGACCATTCAGAGGGCTGGATTTCTTAAGTGAGGTATATACAAAAAATATAATCTAGTCACTTTACAGTTACATATGATTTACAATTTGGTAAAATTACAAAAATGGTCTATATTGCATTATTGCGTTGATTTGCAGGTGATTTACGTAGCCCGGAACCCAAAGGATACGGCTGTTTCCTACTATCATTTCTGTCATTACACTCCACAATTGCCGAGCTATGATTCTTGGGATATATTCTTTGAAGAGTTCTTAGCTAACAGGGGTAAGTCGTCATTTAGAATTTTATACCCAAGAAGGGACATTTTCTGAGAGATTTTCTGGGAGATAAAAAGCTAACTGGACCACTGTAATCCTTGAGTGTGTTCTCTCGATATAACTGATTGGGGTATACAGGTGGACCACTTTGCCGGGGTTTCCCCTACTCCTATACGAATAGTGCAGTGTGTTCTTAACGTGCACAGGTGGTGACTCCCCTCTACACGAGGTTCAAATCTAAGATTTTATCTGAGGGACTTACCCCTTTAATTCCCACTTCGAAAACAAAGGAGTCGATGCCAAAATCCAACAGCGCAGCTACGGAAGCAACGAACTCCGGGACCTTACTGTTAGCTGACTTGAGGTGGCGCTAGAGGGGATTTTGCGGTAATGATGCTAGTACAGCATGGCTTTAAAATATGGGTACACTGAAAACACATGCTTCAAACAAGATCATTTTGGCAATAATTTTTTTAATGACTTTTGAGATGATTTCCTAAAAGTCATTGCGATTGCATTATTTCTACCTCAGCTCCTCAAGGATCTTGGTTTGAAAACGTGTTGCCATGGTGGAGGAGAAGAAATCATCCAAACGTTCTCTTTCTCAAGTACGAAGATATGAAGAAGGTGAGTTGTATCGTTGTATCCCCTAAAATAAAATATTCTTTATTTACTTTAATCATTTAAAAAAGTGTAGGAAAATTTGTCGAACATTTTCCAAGCAAAACTGAAATAGAAGGACAGAAGTACATAATTTCAACTTTGTACCATAAATGATTCCGGAGATTTACAACAATGACAATTACAACCGGCCAATTCTTTTATGTTACCGCAAGGAAAAGGCACTATATCAAATATCTTTCGGATTGGATTGGATCTAAATACAAAAGACAATACCCTCTGTGATAAAAACTAATAATCATATTAAGATGTTCCTCTATAGCACATTATGATATAACGTCCTTATGCACTTCCAAAAATGTTTGGATATTATAACACTCGCTTTAGCCCTGGCAGCCGTTATCAGCACAGCGTTTCAAGAAATACCTCCCATCAGGTGCTCAGTAAACACCTTGGGCGGTATTCTGAACAAGAGATAACACAGGGATAAAATGATGTTCAGAATACCAACTTACAACAATATTAGCGCTGTGTTATCTCTGGAAGATACAACAAAAGATAACACAAAACTTACATGTTCAGAATACCACCCCAGGGTGAAGAGTGGCAAATGTGCATTAATTGTCTTGCTGGGCAAGTTACTCCTTCGGCGATAGGCCCCTTAAAATATGACTCCTAACAGATGACATATATCTTTAGGTAAACGTATTACATTCAGTTTTTCGTGGAATCATTATATTTTATATTGTCAACAACAAGAACAAGAACAACAACAATAATAATAATAATAATAATAATAATAATAATAATAATAATAATAATAATAATGATGATGATAATACTTATATGATGATGATGATGACGATAAGATGATGATGGTGATAATGCTCACTACTACTACTACTACTACTACTACTACTGGTACTAATAATAGTAATGATACTGATAATGATGATAATAATTACAATAACAACAATATACGTATTTTTATAGCTCTTTTTTAAATGATACAAAGCTCTTTTTGTAATAAAAACAATAACAATGTCTGTAACTTGAGAAATTATTAACAAAATACATCATAATTTCAATGGTGAAAACATTTTGATAATGTTAAATAACATCATTCTTAATTCTTCATACGACTTTTAGGACTTACCAGGAGCCGTACAACAGATAGCTGAATTCATGGGAAAGTCCCTTTCAGATGAAGTCATCGAGAAGTCATCGGGGGTAAGCGGACACTTTTTTTTTGGTCTCGAAATTTGAAAATTTGACATTTTTCTTCGTTGGGGGGGGGGGGGGTAAGGTCACCTTTTTTAGGTTAGCCGTGGGCATATATATATATATATATATATTTTTTAATAAAAAAAAAAAAAAAAAAAAAAAAAAAAATCCAAATGGGTTTTTGTAAAGTTTTTTTTAGGGGGGTTTACACACATAAAAATACAAAAGGGGGGTTTGAACCCCCAACCCCCCCCCCTGCGTACGCCCCTGAGCATCTGTAATAATGATGTAATATTGAAGCCCTAGACAAAATGCGCTTCAAAATGATCAAGAAGTGCCTCAAAAAAGTAAAACATCTTTGAGTGACCGGTTTTACCATACTCGTTTCCCCCCAATAGACTGTAGTGTTATGAAAACCATTAGGAAAACGCAAAATTTGATTTTGATTTTCAATCATAGATATCTTGATAATTAGACAGGCGATCGGCTTGTAAAAGTCATGGGGTTCCTGACTGACCTGAAGGTTTATAATTGTCATTGCAGCATGAGCTAAATCCAGGATTTTGTTTCAGAATCTGAAACAAAGTAATACCCAATCCCAAACTTAAAATATAAAGGTTTTTCTTTCTTCAACAAACTAATCTAAAACGACTGCTCTGATAGAGGTTGGCCACTTTCTATTCATGACATTGTATCCAATTTTATTGAAAGCACTGTAGACTGATGACCTCGAGAGGTTGTTAACGGCCTTGTGTACTGTGCGCGCGCACGCGCACACACACACACACGCATACCCTCCCTTTTTCGCTCATACAGAGGGGGCGAGAGAGATCTTTATATCTATCTATTTATATATATATCTCTCTTACACACACACACACACACACGCACACGCCCACACCCATACATACACACACGCGCAAGCACCATCCTACTCAACTAACGCACTGCTTTATTTTTCTTTATTTCCCGTTATTTTATTGAATTAGATTTTTTTTAAACATATTTGATAGAACAATTATTTTCTCAGCATGTTCAATAAAACGTGAAACGACCAATCTTTTTATTGTACTAGTATAAGGAAGGTGTGGTCTGGACACAAACAGAAATATTGTAAAATCCGATATTTAGAATCATGCGAATATATTAATACTAATAAAATAAAGAAACATAAAGAGGGAGGACAATGATATGTCTTTGGTGTGCACTATGCTAAAATTAACGTCATCTCACAAAATTATCAAATGTTAATATCATTCTCATTAGTTTATTACTCGGAATGTACAAAACTCAAATTCGTTAATGGTATGGACAATATCAGTCAAATTTCATAACAAATTCGAAGTAAGAGCAAAAGCATTATTAACGAAGAATTTATCATCATTGTGAAATATAGATATAAAATTAAGAATGATAAGGGCTTGTTCAATGATGATGCGTAAACAATGTAATTTATTTTCTCTAACTGTTCCTAGATGTAAATATGTAACTGAAAATAAACGATTCTGCAGAAATGTCATGCTCTACCTACACAACTGAGGTGTCTCTCATAAAGTTGTATGATATATTATTTCTTGTGAAATCATTAGCTTGAATTACAAAATATCAAAGGACATTTGCTTTCCAATCATATGACAATGCATGGACCAAATCGTCTAAACAAATGTGAACATCTGAATAGAATTAAAGAAACAAATACAAATAGAGAGTAGCTATTAAGGACAACGAAATGAAGAGAGAGGGTGGGTGTGAGAGGATGGGTGTCAGAGGGGGCGAGAGAGAGATAGAGAGAGTGAGAGAGAGAGAGAGAGAGGAAGATGAACACATATACATATATATATATATATATGGTATATATACTGGTATATATATATTTACATCATATAAAAGAACTATTTCATTGAAAAGGTATTTTCATTCTAGTTTATGAAATTAAATGCATTTCAAAGTAATTGAATTGTTAAAAGAATTAAGGGAAAAAGCATTTTCCCAGTACTATAGCCGAAATCACCTCCAAATCACTAGTTTCTATGTTTTAAAACTATTTCATTGAAAACGTATTTTCATTCAAGTTTATAAAATTAAATGCACTTCAAAGAAATTGAAATGATTTTAAAACTCTATCAATGTTTCCGATTATTTAGAAAATGTATAGGTCTACATAATTATATATTGGAAGAAAGGTGTAGTACAGGATAGTCATGTATGTATATAATTATATATATAATTATCGATATGATAATCAAATAGGCCTACATGATCAAAAGGCAACAATTTTCATGTAAAAAAAGAACATTACTGGGAAGATTTCATTGTGTAACAAAGATTACCAATAATTCCAAGTAATCACTTTAAAGAAATCAAAGTTTCCCTCTTATTTGGAATCCCTCTCAATATTACACTAAATAGAATGCTCGTTGTAGAAAATTGATCACCATAAAATGAAATTGAATGCCCCAAATATGCTCATCGTGAGCGCCGCGTTAATTTAAATGCACGAAGTAGGAAATAATTGTACGCACAGTCGTGAATTTTATTTCACCTAACATGAATTTGATTATTATAAATATTAGTATAAACTATTATTATTATCATCACTATTTTACAACAAAATGAATCGAAATATACCCACTGATTAATTTGTATGTGGATCTACTACCCACAAACCAGGGGTGCATGATTATCTAAAGCAGGGGCCACATTGAGAGTGACCGAGTCTCCAAAAGTATCCTGTAAAATTGCCCCAAAATGCATATAATTATACAAACTACTTAAACATGTTGGCATGTCGGCAAAACCTCTATTTAACAGACCTAATAATAACAATAACAATAATAATACAAATATTTGTAAAGCGCAACATATCCATCTCTAGAGATGCTCAAGACGCATAGAAATGATTTAAATTTATATCAGGAATTCAACATAATATTAAATGTTAACTTACGTGTAAGTTCAGCATGGCATCTTAATAGAATTTTAACCTAATTAAATTATGATCAGCTATACTAATTAATATTTCTTATATTCATTATATATTTTTCAAACCTGTAGGCCTAAAAATGCATAATAAAACTGTATAATGAAAGACGATTTTATGTTAAAAACATTGAATTGTTTAAACTTGACCGACTGCTTCTCACGAACCTCGATGCCACCGAGATAATTAGGAGTAGAAGTATACCATCAGTAGCTGAAAAAAAAATCAGATCAAGGAAAATGATTGCGGGATTAAAACCTACGAATATCACATTAGTATCTATGGAAGTTTTACCAAAATATGATTGAATGATATTATTTTCATGAATACTAAGTTGGTAAGTTTTGATGATTAAACTTTACAGAATTTCATATTCCACCTTTTTTGCAAATACCATTAATACGTATCAATGTTTCAGTTACTTCACATTTATTATCCACTTCCATTTGATTATTTTTAATGCCATAAACACGCTGTGTTCCTCCCCCTAAATCCGCCACTATACGTATCTGAATACAAACACACATCAAAAACATGATCATACATACCTCTTCCAAATTGAATCTGGCCTTGTCACCGCGGCTCTTTGATTCGAAGGTAGCTGTAAAACAAACCAGAAAGAAAAGAATTTCGTCACAAATATTCAATTCATTCATTTTAATGTCACACACTCAAAGTTAAAAAAAGGCATCCAAAAATTACAGTGGGAGATATAAATATTTAAAAAAATTTAACGAAATTACTTCCAAGAGCTTGCATGATGCATGACAAGCATTACCAACCAAATTTGAATCATCACGATGGTTCCCAACAAAGCTTAAGAGAGGAGCTGGACAGGGAGCTGGGGAATTTTTTCGAAAAGACTAAGATCGACTTTAAGTTGGACTTAACTATGGTAGGCTGTTCATGCCACAGCTTGCTCTCACCATTTACTGGCATTGGTCTCTCAAGGGACGTACAAATCATGGTCACAAATCTACAGAATTAATACCATTTTTTTTTTTATTATTAAAGGAAAAAATATTATCTAAAGATCATAATGGTGAGAGTAAACAGTGGCATGAATGGCCCGCCATGGTTAATCCAACTTAAAGTCGATCTTAGTCTTTGTGACCCCCGTCCCAGATCGTACATTACTCCTCGAAACTTTGCAAGAAATCCTGGATTTATGCATAACATTCAGATTCTTTTATACTACTTAACTTCGTATTAAATTCAACTCACTGAATATAAATCCCTCGGAATAAACTTCTGAAGTCAACTTACTGTACATAAACTTGACTCTGATAGCGACATGTATGAAGCTGGCAAATGACAAGTTACCCTCCTTATTTCCATACAGCAGACCAAGGGCTCGAAATGTGTCATTCTTCAGCTTAAAGCCTACAAGAAAAGAAGACAGGGGAACAAAATAATCACAAAAGCAAAATAAAAACACGCAAAAAAAATACAAAGCTAGAAAGCATACGTACATGTATTAACAAATAAAATAGTAACATAATTTGAATCATTTTACTGTTGAAAAGTTACGGTATGAAAGTTTGTATTTCAGTCATATTGTCCGCTATTAGATAATGTTTATTCCTTTGTGGAAGAAAATGGATGAAGGAATAAAACATGAGAAGGACCACGCTTCTAGTGCCCTCGAAGTTGAAGCAGATAGACAGAAGTATATATTGGCCATAGGTTTACATTTTCACTCGATATTATGGATTTAAATACTCTATCATAATCCTAGTCACAAACAGAATAATTTAGTTTTCGCCTAAAATGGTGGATCTAAATTTGCATAAAGTATGCCATTTTCATTGGATTGTTTGAAAGTGTCACTATTTTAGGAAATGCGCTGTTTTACAGAAGGCTTTTATTTTCACATCGAGGTTGTATTCCGAAAGAATGGAAAAAAGCAAGAGTTACCCCTTTATATAAAAACGGGAGTAAACAAGAGATTTTTAACTATAGACCTATATCGGTTCTTCCGCATATAATGAAAATTCTAGAAAAGGCTGTACATTCTCAACTATACAAGTATTTTATTGACAATGAACTATTGAGTTCACTCCAATCTGGCTTTCGCCCACTGCACTCAACAAATAGCGTTTTAATTGATGTAAATGAATACTTGTTACGTAACATAGAAGAAGGCTTGGTGACCGGAGTTGTTTTCATTGATCTGAAAAGTGCATTCGATTCTGTTTCTCATGAACTACTTTTATCTAAATTATCAACGTATGGTGTAAAAGAAACAGAGGCTATTTGGTTTTCTAATTATTTACATGACCGTGAACAATGTGTTAAGGTGAACGATAGTCTTTCCAATTTTAGACCTATATCGAAAGGTGTCCCGCAAGGGAGTATGATATCGCCTCTATTGTTCTCTATATTCATTAATGATGCATGTAATATTAAATTTGGTAATTCTTTTAAACTATGTGTGTACGCTGACGATACCGCTATATTTTGTCGAGGGAAATCATGTTCTCTTGTCCAGAAAGAGTTACAGCTAGCACTGAATAAAATCCTTGCATGGATTGATGATAATCGGTTAACCCTTAATGTAAAGAAAACAAAATGCATGTTAATTGGAACTCAATCTAAAGTGAAAAATAAGAAACTAGAAATGTATGTAAACACCAACAAACTCGAACAGGTTAATGAATTTAAATATCTTGGTTTGATAATTGACTCTTGCTTACGGTGGAACTGCCACATTAATACATTATGTAATAAGTTATCAAGAACTATTGGTTATATCAGACGTATTCAATATCTTTTACCGAAACGTATTTTGTTAATGATTTATAATAGTTTGTTTTTACCGCACATCGATTATTGCAATATTATCTGGGGACAAAGTGCAATGTGTCATATTTCAAGAATTCAAAAACTACAAAACCGTTTTGCAAGACTCATACTTAAAGCTGATTTTTTTACCCCTCACATCACTATGTTGACTGAACTTTCCTGGCAATCAGTACGTCAAAGAATTAATTACCAAATTTGTTTAAATATGTACAAAATTCAAAATAATCTCACGCCTTTATATCTCAAGCCAATAGTTATCCCGAGAAAGATTTCTATTTATACCAGGCATTCTGCACAATCTCCACTCTTCATTAAAACTCCCCGAACAGATTATTTCAAAAGATCCCTTCACTACCAAGGGTCACTCATGTGGAATAACCTCTCTCCTAATGTACGTGTTAGTGTGTCCCTATTGTCCTTTAAGAGGCAATGCAAGCTTCTCAGTATCCAAAACGCCCTCTGACAAACACTTTTTTTTCCTTCTTCTTCTTCTTCTTTCATTTGCAATATTTATTCTTAAACTTTTTTTTTTTTTTTTTTAAATATTTCATATATTGTATTCGTAGTTCTTGTTGTAATTTTAGTTACTTTGTATATCGGTTTTATTTGTATGTATACCATATTAATGTGCAATGTTTTACATGTTTTTAATTGTATAGACAGGGCCCCTTGGAAGAGCAATACTCGTTATTGAAAGGGCCACCCTGTATAAAGAAGACTTGAATAAATAAATAAATAAAATAAATAAATAAATTTATCGTGAAAAAGATATACCGAAGGTTTCATGATTATTGAACTGTTTCCAGTTTAAGATTAATCAACATATACCCGTGTTAAGAGTTGTCATGGAGCTAATCAAGACTGGTAATAGGTAATTCGCCAAAGCCACTGTGTTGCACAAATCAATCCTTCAATAATATTGGTGCCTATAGTTTTGTGCAAAATTGCACATGTGGCAACCGAGCTCCGTGCAGCTCGGAGAGACAAAGAAAGCAACCAAAGTGTTAACAGTAACAATGTTCCTACCAAGTGAGGTTAAAGACGCCCTCATCTCGTTGGTACTGATCATTCCAGAGTTATCAGTGTCTGCCTTCTTGAATAATTCCTGCAAAAAGTATCAATCAAAGTCTAACATGAAGAAAAACTTTATATTTACTCCTATACCTCACAAGACAATGATGTTTTAAGGGCACTTCTAGAATTCTAAGATTAAAATGTCACAAATAATTATTTTCAATAAGAAAAAGGGGTACATGCATAGGATTAGTATTGAATATAACCCAATAATTTCATCTATGCTCATGTAAATTATTATGTTCAACCCTTTTTCTTCTTTAAGAGTCCTATAGTCATTATTGCCAATCATGAAGGTTACTACGAAAAGAATTGTCTATATTAATATTATACCTTCCATTCACAAATGTGGTCCCACAGCTCTCTGAACTCATCGAAGCTAAGCTTGCCAGTACGATCCTCCTGTGTGAAAACGTTCAGGAAAATAATAAAAAATTCTTCTCCTTGAAATTGTTGTTTGCCAATTCGCTCCTTTATTGTACTAAAAGCGATAATAAAATATTAGGTTTTGCTAAAAGGGAAGAACGTTATTCCTATTTACTGGGACGTCGCTGGAGGGTAGGGGGGGGGGGAGGGGGTGAGGGTAGTGACTTTGGGAGCTGGCGTGTGGGGAGCACCCTCCCCCAATTTCACTATTGGCAGTTTTTAATTTGTTGTCGGCAGATAAGTAATATTCAAACTATGACGGCAAGTAAAAATAATGTTGTTGTTTGTTTGTGTTTGTGTTTTTTCCCGTTTTTTTTTCTTCCATAATTATATTCTTTTCGACAAATTTGGTCCGAACCCCCTCCCCTATCAATAGAGCCAATGACGCCCCTTCTTGTTTCAGTTTGAGAAAGGATACATCGCTGAGAGCCACCATACTTTTGCAAGAGTCCTCACTAAAACGATCACGGCGTAAATCTGAGGAATAATAGGAAAACAAATAATAACTGAATTAATGACAAATTATAATAGTGATATAGGATTCTTCAAGCCGTGACGCTCCTGGCGCTTCAACATTATTTTCACGGCCAATAGCTTGCGGCCAAATAATATTTTGTAACGCTCTGGCATATCGGTTAGCCTCTGAGGAGAGTCTGTGGCAAAAGTGGATGAATGTCCTGCCAAAGGACATTAGTGCCGGACTGGTATTCGAAACCTCAATCCTTGGATTGAGAGTCAAGTAAATGAACTATTATACCATTATGACACCTCAACATACAGTGACACCTCCAATGCTATCTATACGAAAATGATGGAAATGATGACACTCACGAAGGCCGTCACACACATCTTATAAATACCGAATCAAAAGGGACAAGAACAGATGAATGTGATATTATGGAACAAAAGGAGCGGACCCCTCAAATGTATATTGATAACGTTCATTATATTAGTTCTTGTCGTCTAACATGCATAGACAAAGTTTGTACCAATGTACCATATTATCTGCTGGAGCAAGTGTTATGTTAATAATGATGTCATTATTATGCGCTGCAAAAAGACAGCACAAGAAACCAGAATTGTATTATCTTACAACGAACCCACTAATGTACTCATTTTATTCCAATCAATGGGTTCAATCCTCCTCCCCTCCCCTTCTTTAGTGTATCGACGCTTAATGATGGACTGGTTGCTAATAGACAAAAAAATTATCATGATACAATAACATAATTAATGTGGAATAATCGTCGACATAAAGAGACTCATCATTCTGACGGTCTAATTTACTAGGTAAAATTATGCACCTGGACTGAACTGTGCCAGTTGTCGTCGGAGCGTTATTTTACTGACATATAGCACTGCGTCAGCGACTTGCGCTGACTTTGATAGGTCTTGTATAACATTACACCTTATACAAAAAAACATGCAAAATTGATATTGCAAAAAAAAGGTATAAAAATAATGACGTAATCGAAAAATGGCGCCTCCTGTACAACGAACATAAAAGACTGCAGTGTCAGGTTTTTGTCATTTATTGGTTGTAATTCACTAACCTTGACGAAGGGATGAATTTAGAATGTCCCGAAGTTCCCAAGCATCAACCTCCATGTCCTGAGGGAAAACACAATAAAATTGTATAATCAATTTATAATTGGGTATTTGTGGCTTTATGTTGATATACCATAGAATTAATTAGGTTTTGACATTGGTTATATACTTTATCAGTAAGTATCATGTACATCAATCGTCTCCACACACTATTTTGCATTCGATATAATTAAAGGCAAAGTTTTTAACATAAAATCTATATAGAGAACGATACAAAATCAATGTAATTAATAATTCGGAAATGTATACAGCCTATTGACCTTTACTTTTGATAACTTGCTTTAAAATTTTGTCATAAGAATGTTTAATGAAAGTTCTAATTAACACATGTCTTTAAAAACGACGTGTTATATAATTATTTAACGTATTATAATGTCAAACGGTGTGTTGTATTTTACGTATCAGTTCTTGTTTTCTTTTCTTTTAAAACCAAGTGTTGAGATTTTTATCGTCTTCTCACTTCATCACTCTCCTATGATAACGTAAAGAAAAAAATCATAACCGGATGGGCAGTTTGGTAAGAATTCACAGCAGAAAGAATAGTGTGGGAACGGTTTTCATTTTCTATCGCTACTTTTTGTCAAAAATAAATCATCAAACTTTTGAAATAGGCCACTACAAAATGTGGGAGCGGTTCCAAATTGTGATTTTTCGTTTGTTTTCATAAGCGTCCCCTATTATGCTTCACGGTGTGAAAGGCCTTGGAAAGGTCTGAAAATATTGCCTTGAGTGCAAAATCATTGTCAAGCAGGCCTTTGTTGGCTCATGTCAGGCAGGCCCTTGTTGTACATGTCAAGTGAGCATTGTGTTGCAGTATATGCTGAACTCGATAACCAAATTGTATTTTACTAAAAATATCATATCCATGCAGCAAGTGAGTCGTTCTTTCCTTCTTTACAAACAAGATCTTTACCAAAATGTGAAGACATCAATAATTCATCGAATTTACGTGTATGAAAGCACTCCTTCATAAAATTGATTTTTCATTTTTCAACTGTAAAATAATACAAATTCTGATCTGATCTTTGTTTCACTTTCCTTTGATCTTCTCCTCATCTCTCTCTCTCTCTCTCTCTCTATAGCATTATATTCCGGCTCCTCTCTCTCTCTCTCTCTCTCTCTCTCCTACTCTCCCCTCTGTTCTGTCTTCCTTTCTCTCCCTCCCCTCTCTCGTTGGCTAATTATTTAAAATTCACATTATATATATATATATATTATATATATATATATATAATATATATATATATATATATATTATATATATATATATATATATATATATATATTATATATATATAAATATATATATTTTTCTTTTACCTGTCCGGACAGTTCTTCGAAGGTTTTTCTGAACCGAATCATGTCAACATCTTCCTTTTCTTCTCCTCTCCGCTGTTGAATAAAATTTCCAAAATAACGTCATGTTATAAACTTGTTCATTCAATGTCATTGACTTTTAAAGTTAACACATAATTATTCTTCACATCGTTATATTCCAAGTTAGAGGTTTAATCGAACTCTTCCAAACCTTGATTTGCAAAATTATTCTAAATAAAAAAAAAAGTATCTACAATAATGATACAGTGTACATAATGACATTTATCTAATTCAGTTCTCGTTGAAATATCATTAAACTACATACAATAGTAGTAGTATAGTTGTTGTAGTCGTAGTAGTACATGTAGTTGTAGCAGTAGTAGAAGTAGTAGTAGTAACAATAAATATGATAATTATGAATATAACAATTACAATAAAAACACAACTATTATTACTACTTCGACTACTACAACTACTACTACTACTACTACTACAACTTCTTCTACTACTACTACTACTACTACTACTACTACTACTTATAGTACTATTTCTACTACTACTACTACTACTGCTAATAATAATGATAATAATCCTGTAATGATAACGCCAATAAAAAATTGATTTATTACCTGCCTGTGAGACATGGTGGATTTTCCGTTAATAGAACTAAAGAAAAGGAAAAATCAAAACCAAAAAATACCTCTCAGTATGTAAAATATATATCATTATTGAAATAATAAGCCAACGGATACAAACTAGCTTGCTGAATTTGGATTAAGGATGGGAACACGAGGCCAAGATGTGTGACGGTCGAGCATTGGCGTATATCGAGGGGGATGTTTTGGGTGTCCAAACACCCCCTTGGCAAACGGGGTGTTTCAGGTGTTCAAACACCCCCCTTGGAAAAAGGAGGTCTTTGAGAATTTTAAAGACACCCTTTATTTTATTTTTTTGCTCAAGGGGGGGGGGGGGGGTCGGATGTTGAGCTGAAAAAAAGGAGTGCCAGTCTCCCCCCTCCCTCCCGCTTATTTGCCGGCTGGCTGATTCACCGCTAAATATTTTCTCACGAATTGGGCAAAAAACACCTCCCCTTACAAAATCCTGGATACGAAATATTACTGACAGTGGAAGAGAAAACTATAATGGCAAAAGCAAGAGAACAAAAGATCAAGAGAAGAATAAAGTGCTGCCACAAATACTTCAAAAAATTAAAACAATGATTACCGCGTCCGAACCAAGACAGGAACAACTTCAGAATATAAGTGTTTGTTTACTTTTTAAAATGAAATGATAACGTCATACGAAACAAGACAAGGAACAACATCAGAATGTAGGTGTTTGCGAAGAATTAGAAATTACTCCATTTAGTAATGAAATCGACAAAGAATAATTAATTGTTTGTTACTCACTTTTCTTAAAGAATATGATTAGAAGTCACCCTTTTCCTGGCTAGATACAAAGCTCGAAATGAAATTTCGCTGTAGTTGGCCGGTGGGTATATAACTGGAACGTTCTGCACGCATCGAAGGTGTTGGTACAGAAAATGGGCGTGGTGGCGGAGCGGCGTCGGCAACACGTTTGCTTGCATGGGCGCTAGAATACGGGAGCTAAAGATTTCGGTCGAATTTGGTCTTTGGTAACAATAAATCAATTAAAATCAATTAAAATATACAGCTACGTGCAGTGACGTGCACGGTCCACCCATGGAGGGGGCATCGGAAAGATGAGGGGGGGGGGGGGGGGGGCGGCACCAGTCCTATATACTCAGAATATGACACTTTATTTATTTTTTTCATTCTCTCTTATCATCCCTGGTGATTATAATAATTTTGTTTCTCTTCATAAATAGGAAAATGCATAGATTGTTTTCCGATGAAGAGATAACATAACCATATTTGCCGGAAGGGAAGCACGGGGGGAGTGGCAAGGTGCCCCCATCATGTCAGTAAGACACCCGAAAATTGTGGGAAATGGATCTTTTTTCGAGAAAAATGCCCCCTTATAATGGGTAGGGGTTTCGAGGCTTGAGCGGCACACCCCGTCCAAACCAAATCTGAATACCCCCCCCCCCCTCCCCAGGGTCATCCTGCTCAAGCTGACTTAAGATCGGTTATTCTTGTACATTGTTGTATGTTGGAATCTTCGCGAATAAAAATCAATCAATCATCAGTAGGCCTACCTACTTTCTTTTACCTATACGACATAAGTTAAGCCCCCCCCCCCACCCACTCAGTGTTATTAAGGGTACGCGTATGCATGTTCCCTCCTTTGGGGGGGGGGGGGGGGTTAAGTTATTAGATCGTGATTGGTTGAAAGTTAGATACCAGTATTTGCAATGCATGTAATACGTACTGTCATTGGGCAGCCAGTCAATTCGACCTTTACATCCGTACATTGTAAGCCTAACATAACAGTCATTACAGGGAAATTTAACCACTTATTATTGTAAATTTAAAGATGGAAACTCGGGATGGACCACTGTGATTTTAATGCTAGTGACGAAAACAATTAAGAAAAAAAAAGTTGTTCATGATGGCATGTTACAAGTCTCCTGTTTAATGACTTTTTCTGTGAAAACATATCCATCATTGCACAATCAGGGCGTGGTCATTGCGTACTAAAGGGGCGGTCATAGGCGTACGTAACGCGTTGGCCCCGGCCCAAGAGGGTTATGCGCAATATTATGCAGTTTAATTGGATTAATATTAAGCGTAGCGTTAGCGCATTACTTTGTGACAACGCTTGCATAATTTAACGCGCTTTCATACTCGTACTCCGCGATTGCAACTTGCGTTTTGAGAACCCTCTGTCAACAATTTTCTACTTTTTCTGAACTATTAAAACCGTCTTTTCGAACAAGCCAGGTCAGTATCTTATCGATAAACAACACTGAATGAACAAGGCGAGTTTGAAGAAGATTGAAATAAAAATGTGGCATTTATCAAGCAAAGATATCAAGGCTTCAACTTCAAATTTTTCATTCTTTACCTTTATCAATCATGTCATGATCATGACCAAGTTTACAATACAAACACGCAGTGTAAACATGTAGATCTATTGCGTTTGCCATTTTCATGGAAACACGTGGGCTTAACTTTAGAATACCCCACCAATAAGGTTAATGTATACACGTCGAAGACCTAGGGTTAGGTTTAGAGTTAGGGATGATTGATTGATTATGTTTAGTGTTAGGTCCAGTTACTTATTTAAGAAATTTGAGTCTTCAATGTTGTTAGCTTCATTGGTGAAGCTTTGGGTACCCTACGAACGTAGACTGGTCAATTTTTGTGGTGGGCTATTCTAAAGTTGCTCCAAATCCAGTGCGTGTTTCGTAGTTAATAAATGGCCCCTCCTTGCCTCTTGAATATCCTTTTATAGTTTCATTTCATCTTTTCTCCCCCTTATACCCACCCGTCACTTCTCTAAAGATATATCAACGTTTCTATTTTCTTTCACTTCAAACAAAGCTAATTTGGCGCTGGATGTTTTGCGTTGGACGTATTCGTTCCCCACACCCCTTATGTCGTGGGAAGACCTTCACCCTGTACTCGGGTCAGCTTCTCCTGTTGCCTTCAAACCATCAATGGTCAACTCCCTGTATGTAAGAAATGTAGCATCTTACTCTTATGAGTTGGCATTTCAAGTTTTAAAAATTATATTTAACAACATGAAATGCCAACACAAATACTGAACCAAAATACAAAACAATTATTATCAAAACGAAACACCAGACAAAACTAGGAGTTTCAACAAATGTGCAATTTCATTATATTTCTTTGCTTTTCCTTTTTTGTTCTAACGCTTTTCTTCTTGTTTTTTTTATAATTATTACTATCATTTTAGTATTATTAATCATAATATTAATATTGTTATAAATATGATTATGATACATGATGTAGAACTCTATTATTATTATCATTATTTCTCTCATCGTTATGAAAGCTATCGTAAATACCAATACCATCATTAGTATTATTTTACAGTGATGAACACTCTTACTTCTTAGTGTCATTATCATCATTGTTACAATCAATTACCATATCTCATCACCATTACTTCTTAATCCCATGACTAAAAACAGAAGCTGTTTTGGTCTTACGGAGACCCGACCTTAATTGTCCCTATCATCTCAACACTCTCCATCAGAAAGCCAATTCACTGGCAAACTTCTCATTTACATTTGAACATGGTTTTTAAATTATCTATCAGAGACATTTGTCTTATCAAATGCAAATAACAAACAAAGTAAATCAAATAAAAATATAAAAAATACAAAAAAATGAATGAATGTTTACAAAAAATGAATAAAAATAAACCTAAAAAATGAATCAACAAAAATTCTGTTTGTGAAAAATATATTCAATCCATTATTATCATCATGGCAGAGCCTGGCATCAGAGCTTGGAGTTGGAGTTGGCAGAGACTTCAACGAACTCGTGGACGACATCAGTCATCAAGTCCACGTGTCACCAGGTAGCGCTTCAACGAGCGAGGAGAATAGAGCAGAAACATCTGGACTCTGCCATCACTGGGTGGGGCTGCATAGCCACTGAGCCTGAGCACTGCAGCTGCCCCTGTCACCTTCTACGTGTGGAACATTGATGATCTTAAGTCAAAGTAACTTCTTGGTCAATCCATCCAGGAGGTGGTGATGTCATCCTTGGCAGTGGGGTCATTGCCACCATCCACCTCTTCCGGCACAGAGTAACCGACAGGCCCATTGCCGTGAAAATCTTCAGACTCCCTCGACACCAAGGAGTTGAACAGGAAGGTTTGTTATTTGTCATAAGTGTATTGCTATTTTAATGTAATGGAGTAAAAACCATACTCAGGATCATCATTGCGTTCTGCTAAATTTTTGATGTCACTTATTTTGATTGTTTATTCATTTTTTTGGTTGAATAAATAAATGAATTTGATTGAATTGTAGTGAAAATCCACACGACAAAGAAGAAGAAAAAATACAATTACAAAAAAAAAATTCAAACCACTACTTTTAAGTGGATTAAACTTAGATTTTGGAGTGACTTCGATTCCAATTAAGGCAATATGATCCACAAAATGCATCTTTTAAGAGTGGATCTCATTTACATCACTAAAGAGAATAGAGAACGACTTTGCTAATGCAAATCTTGTAACAGAGTAGAAAGAAAATTACAGGAGAAAGGTATGTATATGGTTCTAAATTCCTAGTGTTACATTTGATTGCAAACTTCTGATGGTTTGGCTTAAGATGATCAGCACTTTTAATACTGCTTACGTAAATTATGTTTGGACTGTGTAATCTGTCATTTCAACAGGCCATGTACTAGGTAATTGAAAAGGCATCTGGGTGAATTTTTTTTAACCGTTCTTTCTGATCGTATTGCTGATAAAATTTGTAAATCAAGTAACTTACAAAGTCGGGACTTGTAATTAGAATTTACTTAATATTTGTTAATTCCTGCTGGAAAACACAACATGTAAACTTTGAATTGTTTCTTTTTATAACCAACAGGAGGTATATGTCCACATCGCTCCCGAATGTGCCCTAGACGACGCGGGTACCACCATCATGAGTGATGTCTTCCAACTTGGACGACTTCTTAAATTGATGGAAGGTACTGCCTACAATGCCGAGCTCAAATCCAGAGAAGTCAGAGTCCAAGAGTGAGAGTAGTGAGGAGGAGGAACAAGAGGTGCCTCCTTTTTTTAATGTCAAATGTCCGCAATTAGGAATTATTCAGCTAAAGTGTGCGACAATCACGACAGAGACTTAATGTTACAGGGCAGAGCGTGCTTCACAAGAAGAAAATATCCAACTACTATCCCCACGATGAGCTCTCGGATTAGTTTTTTAAATATGAATGTTTTATATTTCCTACAAATTTCAATATTTCTCAACATTTAATTTATTATTGTATCAGTATACTGATTAACTTATAAATGTACACGTATGAGCATAAATAAGTTTAAAATAAAATAAGTTTTATTTGCTGAGGACAGCGAAAAGGCAGGAGGTAGTGTGACCTCACCCCTCTACTTTTTATTTTGATTAAACAATTGGTTGGAAAATAAAATATACATGTTTATCTTTATATGGATTTTGATTGATAGGTTAAGATCCATAGACTTTTTTACCCCACCAAGTATAATGTGTGGGACTGAAATACCTCTCTTAAAGTGAGACACATTATGTCACCTTTTAAAGCTTTATTACTCAAGAACTACACACATTTAATGTTGTGGAAGCAGGTATTCATCATTGGTATTTCTCATATTATTAGATTTCCTTGGTAACATTTGTATATTTTTCCTGTGAGATATACACGTTTCAGGAATTTTGCTTTTAAACTACACAAGAGAGATTTGCTTGTATTGAATGTGACGTTGAGGGTGCTTTTTTATTCAGAGGCTCTTTAGTTACCTATACCCTGGCTAAAAAAGTGGCACGCAAATTCTACACAATTTCTCAGATCGCCATTTTACCATTCGGAAACTCTCATTTCATTTTTTATCCATTCTCATTCTTCACCGACAGAAGTATTGTCAGTACTGATTTTTTTCCAATTGAAATAGGAATAATTAAAGGGAAGATTACACGTTTAATATGGAATGCACTTCTTACTGATTTAATTACAGTCAAAGGTCTACAGTAATTTCATATCTAATGGAGATTATAATATTGATTTATGAAGAGTATAGTAGAGTTATAGTAACTGGCCTACTTAGAGAAGAGACTTGGTTTAGAAATAAAGACAGAAATTTTGGAACGTAAATGTAAATATTTGTACTCCATATGGATCAAGACATGACTTGCCATGTAACCTAGTTCATTTTTATAACATGTGTAAGAACAATTGTAAATATTGCAGTTGTACATAAGTTGAATCATCATTATTGCGGAATTCATTTCACCAGGTATTGTTTTATACAAGATTAAAGTTCAAGTTAAACGTTATTACAATTATTCATTGTCTGACCAATAATTGTAGACATGATTGATAAAAGAGATGTAGATGGAGAAATAATTACAATTGGTCAAGTGAAAGAGAGAGAAATGGTGAATTTAGATTGATTTATTTAGCCAACACTTTGCTTCATACAGATGGCCCTTTAAGCCTTTGATTCCAGCTCAGATAATTTTGAGAGACAGAGAGTAGGTGTAGTAAGGAAATACGAGACTATGCAGCGAAAGGCTAAGCGCATGCTTGGTGGTCCCTATGCCCGAGTAGTGTGGTTAGCGTGCAAGTACTGATACACGTGTGCATATGGTGTGCGAATGAGTAGCGACAAGCATGTGATGGAAGAGAGATCAAAGTACAGAATATTTACCAGTATTTCTGGATGATGTTAGAACTGATTGAATGGTACTAGGCACGCATTACTCTCGGCCAATCAGCCGCGATCCTTTCCCCCATTTTACATCCATAATTAATTGACTGGAAAGTAACTCTTGAAGTCTGGTATTGTTACGTCACAAGGAAAAAACGATTTATTTGTGACGTAGTTTTCCATTTAGATTGGGATCAACTGAAGAAATCTCAGTTGATCCAGGGGTCATGTCCCTATATCACCATGTGGTGGCAGCAATTTCTGTTGTGAATCATTTGTTGAGAAGGTGTTTGCGTCCCGCGTCACAATATTATACAATCATGAACAATATCAATTGCTTTAAAAATTGATTGATACAAATAGCCATCTTCCTCAAACTTTTACTTATCGGTTTCTCTCATCCAAACCAACTTGACAGCAGGTTGGAATTACCTTAAAGAGAAAGAGATAGATAATACAATAATAGAGTAGAATATTACACAGAAAATATTGTCTGTATTAATTTAATTGTCAGTGAGTTTGACTACTTATGAGTTGAAGTCTATACTCCATTCATGACACCCATCATAAAAGAAATGCACATGATTGCGGCTTTTGTTAAAATTCATGCTTTTTATTAATATTTTTCTCAACACAAATCTATATCAAGGATCTCTTTACAATTTTTTTTTATTTTTTAGAGATTACAGATAACAAAAATCCACTTCATAGGATTGGTCAATTTTGCTCCTTCTTTACGGGCATCCACATGATTTTTAGTTATTAAAGTGCTAAACTATAATAACTTGTTATTTCATATGAATAAAGTAAATCAAAATGTAATGAATAGCCATTCTCAGGAAACATGTACCAAATCTCTCATCTAAATCTTAGCCAAGCATTGTTTCAAACGACCCAGCCCAGTAGACCGATAACCCACGAGACCAACAATGTCAAACTGGTAAACCTCAGAAGAAATGTCAGATAGCCCATGACACCATATCTGGCTTCAGCCATTTTCAAAATGTTACTAATCAAAACAGTTTACAAAAAGTTTACAAAAACAAACTTAAAGGCCCTGTATCTCAATGTTCAAAATCACAGGTGAAAATACTCTTGAATATATTCATGTTCAATTAAAGGTTAGAAGTTCTGTGTAAATTTACCTGCAGTACCTATCATACAGAGGTATACCCAGAAAAGGGGAAAGAGGCGTGGGGGAGGGGGAGGACCTCTCCCAAAAGGAAAGCATAATTTCTGTAGGAAGCCTTGCGTTCGTTACATCAACTCCAAATTGTAGTGAACCATTTTGGGGGCCTATTAGCCAGAAGTAGAGGTTGGGTGCATTATCATTCAGGTAAAAACACTATGAATGTTTGAAAGAACAGTTCTCCAACTGAAAAAATAAATACAAGGGAAGTTCATTCTGCAGTAAATGTCTAGGAACGATTATACAAAATTGACTGTTTATGGAACAAGGATGATTCAGTGAAACGTGTTTCTTATAAATAGGGGCCTTTTGTCTATTCAATTCATTAATCATGAAAATATTCAATTTCATAGAAAACGTATATTTTTTTATTAAAGACCATTGATGAAGTTCTTCAAAGTAGCATTGACTACAAAATAACTTTTGATCCTCCCTTTGTACGTTTAGTACTTAAGGAAATGTCTGCATGTCCAATATCACATACAAGGCATCACCCTAGATTTGATGACGAGGAGAAGTACACGAACACCGTGAGGTGCGAGTCCGGACAAAAAAGGAGCCTTGGACCGTTGAGGGGGGGGGGGGGGGGGGAGGGAGGGGTCATTGGTTTTACAAGGTGGATGAAATACTAATCAAAAGGGCCACCAAACAGTGTATGAAGGGTTCCTATCATCTTCTCTTTCCCCTTTCCCTCTCCCTCCTTTTCTCTCCCCCTTCTTCTTTCTATGCTTTTGAACCATTTGAACCATAATAGTACTTTACAGATGGCTTGAGCACCCCCTGGGATGGCTATGTTATTATTATTTAATGGGGGGGGGGGACATCTGTAGGCCACCCTGTAGCTATCCCACTGCATGTACACTCTGCACAAAAGGTTAACAGAGAGTCTGAAAGATTCAAACATTGCATGAAATAACCCGTTTCTTGTTGCTTCTTTACTCTCTGCATTACACAGAAGTGAATCCCAGTATGCTTTACTTGATCTCGGAGTAAGACATCTATTAAGACTTAGATGCTGCTCTATTCTGCTCGAAGGAGATGACAAAGTCAGCGTTGGCCTCGGCAATCTTCCTCATCTCATCATAGAGGCCCTTAGAGGACTTCAGATCCTGGGAAAAGAAAATGGTGAATTGTTTGACATTAATTGATGAATTGCTACAGAAAGCAGTAGCAAGCAGATGATATAAACATGAACATCTAGGACACCTCCAATACGTGTTAAGGATTTTTTACCATAGGGTATTTGGGCTCATAATACAAATATAAATTAGTTATTGCTATTTCGCGACTGATCGCTCCGTACAATCAATTGATCATTCATTCGATCATACAATCAATCCATCAATCATATGATCATTTGCTATGCTTGTTGTTAGAGAGCCCTATTTATAGGAATATCAAGACCGAAACACTACTCACAGGCTCTGAGTTCTATCTTTAAAATAAATCATGCTCTCCTGTACTGCTATCTTACCTCATCAAATAAAGCTACTGTAAAATGTGATGAACTACAAAGCCATAATATCCTGAATTCCTAAAAGTCTATAAAGGCATTGGAATGGAATTGTAGGGGACACAACTACATCTACATACATGTGTATGTACATTGTAAGAGAAGAGTCGGGGGTCGAAGCTGACTCAATATTAACATATAGTTTCTACCAAAATAGATATCGAGTATGTGAGCTTTCATCCACTTCTGTGTACTTGATCCCTTTTTGTATCTCCACCCTGGTGATCTCTAGACTGCAGGTAGAAATCCTTTGGCCTAAAAAGGTCCACAGAAGCAAACAAATGCTAACCTACCTTTTAAAGGTTGGTGAAAGCTTTTAACGGCACATGCTATAATTACCCATATATATTGGGGGTAATTATACACATACATATATATATATATTTATATATTCTGTATGACTTTATAGTGCTAAACAAAATTTTATACAATCGATAAAGAAGCATCATTTTCTCATCTTAAAGAGATGCATATTCATAGCATCAGCACCCCCCCCCCCAGTGTCTTATCTTGTATAGCTTACCTTCACAAACATCTTAGTTTGGTTGTAGAGTCTCGTAACGCAAGGCTTGAAGCAAACATGAGTGGAATCAATCCCCTTGGCTGCAAGTGTCTCCTCCACAATGGAACGCAATTTCTGTGAAAGGGTGTAAAGAAATAGAGGAAACAATTAAAACCAAATGAAGATGGGAGAATTAAAAGGACACATGCGCAGCTGCTAAATCTCAGAAGACCTCCGACCATCGTAGCATGAACTATCCATGAAAACATGCTCTCATTGAGCATCTACACATAGGTACTTATTAGGCCAGAGATGGATACCATTTTAGCTACCGGTATTTTAAAAGCCCTTCAAACTATTCAAATCTAAATATTTTGAAAATCACCCCCTGATATTCGCATATTGTATTGACAATTAGACAGTCTGATTCACTTACATCAACAAATTTTGTACTCGAGCATTCTGTACTGCTAGCACACTAAGAACAGCTACTGGTATCTTTTGACCCTTGTGACAATAACCGTAATAAAATTTGGGGGAAAATTTGATATCTTCACAAGTTCTCACCCTTTTATGCTTCTCTGATCTTGACTCTGAAGCAGTCCTTGCTCTCTGGGACTCTGCGCTCTTGACCGAGTCTTTGGTTGGCTTCTGAGTTTTCTTGGACGGCGTTGATGATGCTGCTGCTGATGATGAGGAAGATGGTTGATTGGAGGTGGAGGTAGATGGAGAAGTGAAAGTGGTGGTAGGATGATGATCCTTGGCAAGCTTCCTGGCTGACCTACGAGGAGAGGTCATCTCCTCTGGCTTGGTCGATTTTACAGGAGTGGACCGCTTAGGTCTAGGAAAATTAAGATAGAAAAATACTGAAGGTTACAACAAGATTACAAAAAAAAAGGCCTGAATTTGAGGAAGATCTTAAATCATTATTTAAACCTCCATGACCAAAGTACTTCATATGATTTATGATTCACTTTAATTCATTTCAAAACAAATATAATTCTTAAAGCAATTTGGGACTTTCATGATGAGGAAACAAAGAAGATTGAAAAATTTGCCATTATAGCCCCAAAATGGCAATTTTTTATTTTAATATTTTCTTTCCAAATTTGCCTTTACGCCCCTTTTGGGAACAAACAGGAATCACTATAATTTGAGGGCAATTTGAGACTGTCATGATGAGGAAACAAAGAACATTGACAAGTTTTATTGTGGCGATTTTTGATTATTTTTATTTCCTTCCCCAAATTTGCCTTAACGCCCATTTGGGAACAAACAGGGATCAATATATTTCTGAGGGCAAAATGAAAATGCAGATTTACATAAAACAATATCTGAATAGATTAACTCTGTATTTTCCCCCAACCAATGAGAATGATATCAACATCCAGATAAGTGGAAGTTCAGGGCCCTGTAGCATAAAGAGTTGAGATTGATTTGAATTAATTGCAACTCTTCATACGACTGGGCCCTGAGATAACACAAAATATTCAATACTACCATTAAATTTCAAGATTTCCTTACCTTTTCGGAGTAAGTCCCCCTGAAGTTGATGTCAGCGCCCTTTTCTTTCGCAACCTGGGAGTGCTGGCGCCCCTCTTGGGCGTTGAACCCACGCCCTTCTGAGGTGTCTTAGCTGTCCTACCAGGCATGGTTCTTTTCTTTGGGGTCATCTGACGTGTGGTGACGGAGGATTTCTTTTGGCTGAGGCAGATAGCTTTCTCATCTTGGCCTGTTTAACATGGAAATATGGATAAACGACAGTCAAGTACTATTTACTATAAAATGAAATGAATCAGATAATTCTAGTTTTCACAAGTACCATTTCACCTTTACACCAATAATGCAAAACTTGGGATGGGTATCATGAACCCCCCATCCCCCTAGTCCCCCACCCCAAGAAAAAGAAATAACATTTAAAAAGAATTTTTTTCCCTGAGTCCCTTTCAAAAGCAAATGGGGGTCAGGATCCATCTCATGGCATGTATTCAAATAAATTCTTCTTTCCACCAAAGAATGGATGAACTAATCTCTTGCCGTTTTGAAAGTAGTATTTTTAAAATTTGTCCTTAAGGCCCTTTGAAAGCGAAACAGGGGTCAAAATCCATGAATAGCCTATTCAAATGATTTTTTTTTTCACAAAAAATGCTTAAAGGAAATGCCCCCTCTCAAAAAATGAAATGGAAGCTCTTATTACAAATCATGTGAAAGAATATGTTTTGACTAATACGTAATCATACAAATTTTGCTGAGAAACCGCCTACTAATTGATATATTTGATAAATTATTATATCTATTGGACCTGATATACATCTTTCTGTGTACAGTGCTTGTAACTTTACCAAATTTAGACTAGACCAAATTTCTTATCATTTTGATGATTCCAGAACCTTGCAGTACACAGCAATACTTATATGCTAGATGATCAACCTATTCTGATCAATTCCACAACGTTTCTTTCAAAATGCAACGCATGACCATAACTGGTCTTTATCCACTCCGGCCCTTGCCATTTTGTCCAAAAAGTGAGTTTCATTTGAATTTTTACACAAATCGCCCCTATGCCCCTATGCCCCTATAAAAGCGAAACAAGGATCATACTCCATCTCATGACAAAATGTGGACATTAAGTGCTAGGAAATTAAGCTATTGATTTTCACTTTTTATCCAAAAAAATGTTTAACCAGTCTGGCCCTTGCCATTTGGGCAAAACAGTGGGGTTTTTCTGAATATTTACAAGACTTGCCCCTATGCTTTTGTAGAAGCGTATTGAGGGTCATACTCCATCTCATGACATATAGGGACAATAATTGTGAGGAAATTAGGCTATTCAAATGTTTTCACTTTTAGTCACAAGAAATGTTGAACTAATCCCTTGCTATTTTGGCAAAATTTTTTTTTTTTTATATTTAAAAGATTTGTCCCTGCGCCCTAGTAGAAGCGTAACGATAGTCATACTCCATCTCCATGTCATATTCCATTTTATCGCATTTAGGGAGAAATATTGTGAGGAGATTAGGCTACCTTATACAATTTTTTTCATTTGATAAATTCACTTTTTCCCCCAAAAAATGCTGAACTAATCCCTTGCCATTTTGTCCAAAAAGTGGGGTTTTTCAAATATTTTCAAGATTTGTCCCTATGCCCCTACAGAAGCTCAAAGGGGGTCATACTCCATCTCATGACATATGGGAACATTAATTGTGAAGAAACTAGTCTATTGAATTATTTTCACTTTTTATCTCAAAAAATGCTTAACCATTCCGGACCTTACAATTTTGTCCAAAAAGTGGGGTTTTTCAAATATTTACAAGATTTGTTCCTATGCCCCTACAGAAGTGCAACAGGGGGTCATACTCCATCTCATGACATATAGGGACATTAATTGTGAGGAAAATAGTCTATTGAATTATTTTCACTTTTTATCTAAAAAAATGCTTAACCACTCCGGACCTTACAATTTTGTCCAAAAAGTGAGGTTTTTCAAATATTTACAAGATTTGCCTTGATGCCACTGTAGAAGCGAAACGGGGGTCATATTCCTTCTCATTGCATTTAGGGACATTTATTGTGAGAAAATTAGGCTACTGTATACAAATTTTTTCATTTGATAAATTCACTTTTTCCTCCAAAAATGCTGAACTAATCCCTTGCCATTTTGTCCAAAAAGTGGGGTTTTTCAAATATTTTCAAGATTTGTCACTATGCCCCTACAGAAGCTCAAAGGGGGTCATACTCCATCTCATGACATATGGGAACATTAATTGTGAAGAAACTAGTCTATTGCATTATTTTCGCTCTTTATCTCAAAAAATGCTTAACCACTCCGGACCTTACAATTTTGTCCAAAAAGTGAGATTCATCAAATATTGACAAGATTCGCCTCGATGCCCCTGTAGAGGCGAAACGGGGGTCATACTCCACCTCATGACATATAGGGACATTAATTGTGAGGAAAATAGTCTATTGAATTATTTTCACTTTTTACCTCAAAAAATGCTTAACCACTCCGGACCTTACAATTTTGTCCAAAAAGTGAGGTTTTTTAAATATTTAGAAGATTTGCCCCGATGCCACTGTAGAAGCGAAACGGGGGTCATATTCCTTCTCATTGTATTTAGGGACATTTATTGTGAGAAAATTAGGCTACTGTATACAAATTTTATCATTTGATAAATTCACTTTTTCCTCCAAAAATGCTGAACTAATCCCTTGCCATTTTGTCCAAAAAGTGGGGTTTTTCAAATATTGACAAGATTTGTTCCTATGCCCCTACAGAAGTGCAACGGGGGTCATACTCCATCACATGACATATAGGGACATTAATTGTGAGGAAAATAGTCTATTGAATTATTTTCACTTTTTACCTCAAAAAATGCTCAACCACTCCGGACCTTACAATTTTGTCCAAAAAGTGAGGTTTTTCAAATATTTACAAGATTTGCCCCGATGCCACTGTAGAAGCGAAACGGGGGTCATATTCCTTCTCATTGCATTTAGGGACATTTATTGTGAGAAAATTAGGCTACTGTATACAAATTTTTTCATTTGATAAATTCACTTTTTCCTCCAAAAATGCTGAACTAATCCCTTGCCATTTTGTCCAAAAAGTGGGGTTTTTCAAATATTGACAAGATTTGTTCCTATGCCCCTACAGAAGTGCAACGGGGGTCATACTCCATCACATGACATATAGGGACATTAATTGTGAGGAAAATAGTCTATTGAATTATTTTCACTTTTTACCTCAAAAAATGCTCAACCACTCCGGACCTTACAATTTTGTCCAAAAAGTGAGGTTTTTCAAATATTTACAAGATTTGCCCCGATGCCACTGTAGAAGCGAAACGGGGGTCATATTCCTTCTCATTGCATTTAGGGACATTTATTGTGAGAAAATTAGGCTACTGTATACAAATTTTTTCATTTGATAAATTCACTTTTTCCTCCAAAAATGCTGAACTAATCCCTTGCCATTTTGTCCAAAAAGTGGGGTTTTTCAAATATTTTCAAGATTTGTCACTATGCCCCTACAGAAGCTCAAAGGGGGTCATACTCCATCTCATGACATATGGGAACATTAATTGTGAAGAAACTAGTCTATTGCATTATTTTCACTTTTTATCTCAAAAAATGCTTAACCACTCCGGACCTTACAATTTTGTCCAAAAAGTGGGGTTTTTCAAATATTGACAAGATTTGTTCCTATGCCCCTACAGAAGTGCAACGGGGGTCATACTCCATCACATGACATATAGGGACATTAATTGTGAGGAAAATAGTCTATTGAATTATTTTCACTTTTTATCTCAAAAAATGCTTAACCACTCCGGACCTTACAATTTTGTCCAAAAAGTGAAGTTTTTCAAATATTTACAAGATTTGCCCCGATGCCACTGTAGAAGCGAAACGGGGGTCATATTCCTTCTCATTGCATTTAGGGACATTTATTGTGAGAAAATAAGGCTACTGTATACAAATTTTTTCATTTGATAAATTCACTTTTTCCTCCAAAAATGCTGAACTAATCCCTTGCCATTTTGTCCAAAAAGTGGGGTTTTTCAAATATTTTCAAGATTTGTCACTATGCCCCTACAGAAGCTCAAAGGGGGTCATACTCCATCTCATGACATATGGGAACATTAATTGTGAAGAAACTAGTCTATTGCATTATTTTCGCTCTTTATCTCAAAAAATGCTTAACCACTCCGGACCTTACAATTTTGTCCAAAAAGTGAGATTCATCAAATATTGACAAGATTCGCCTCGATGCCCCTGTAGAGGCGAAACGGGGGTCATACTCCACCTCATGACATATAGGGACATTAATTGTGAGGAAAATAGTCTATTGAATTATTTTCACTTTTTACCTCAAAAAATGCTTAACCACTCCGGACCTTACAATTTTGTCCAAAAAGTGAGGTTTTTTAAATATTTAGAAGATTTGCCCCGATGCCACTGTAGAAGCGAAACGGGGGTCATATTCCTTCTCATTGTATTTAGGGACATTTATTGTGAGAAAATTAGGCTACTGTATACAAATTTTATCATTTGATAAATTCACTTTTTCCTCCAAAAATGCTGAACTAATCCCTTGCCATTTTGTCCAAAAAGTGGGGTTTTTCAAATATTGACAAGATTTGTTCCTATGCCCCTACAGAAGTGCAACGGGGGTCATACTCCATCACATGACATATAGGGACATTAATTGTGAGGAAAATAGTCTATTGAATTATTTTCACTTTTTACCTCAAAAAATGCTCAACCACTCCGGACCTTACAATTTTGTCCAAAAAGTGAGGTTTTTCAAATATTTACAAGATTTGCCCCGATGCCACTGTAGAAGCGAAACGGGGGTCATATTCCTTCTCATTGCATTTAGGGACATTTATTGTGAGAAAATTAGGCTACTGTATACAAATTTTTTCATTTGATAAATTCACTTTTTCCTCCAAAAATGCTGAACTAATCCCTTGCCATTTTGTCCAAAAAGTGGGGTTTTTCAAATATTGACAAGATTTGTTCCTATGCCCCTACAGAAGTGCAACGGGGGTCATACTCCATCACATGACATATAGGGACATTAATTGTGAGGAAAATAGTCTATTGAATTATTTTCACTTTTTACCTCAAAAAATGCTCAACCACTCCGGACCTTACAATTTTGTCCAAAAAGTGAGGTTTTTCAAATATTTACAAGATTTGCCCCGATGCCACTGTAGAAGCGAAACGGGGGTCATATTCCTTCT